GACAATAATTGGCGGCGATTCTTTTTCTCTTTTTTTTTCCGACACCGTAACTGCGTGATTCTTTACTTTCGTGTTGCGTTAGGTTGCTTTCGTGCGGAAGTCCTTTATTTTTTCACCGTGATGCACTATCGGCAAGCAAATGCACGTGTATTTCTGCACACGCTCCAGGGTTCTCATCGATGCCCTGAGTTTTATTCTGTCTTTCCTTTTTCCACTATCAAGGCGACGGCCGAGCCCCGTTCATTCTGCCCACACTCCAGTGTCCCATTGCTCGCATGAATGATGGTCGTTTCCTGTTCAGAATTGCCTTTTATGTCTGTATTTCAACCCTTGTGCTTAACAATTTTGTTGCGCATTGTTTGCCTCGTCTTTTGCACGGCTTTCATTTGGCGTGCTCTGGCCAAAGTTGCAGGGCCAGACTTTTGTTAGTCGCATTATGGGTTTTCCTTCCATGGAAATGGGTATATTATATTTATAATCCACTGTTAATGTATTTAGAATATATGGCATGTAGAATAAAGTGTTTAATTGTAGCATGACTTGTACAAAACAATCGAGAGTTAGTAGCGAGGATGAATTGGACAGTTTATGTGATGCCTAGGGAACACTGTACAGACACGTTAGGGCCAGTTGTCGGACAGTTTCCATTCCGAGAGCAATCCCAAAAGTGTCCGGGTTCTTCCCCGCAACCATCATACCTTGATTCGGAAAACTGTCCGAAACACCATTCCGGAAAGACACCTGTTTCTGCCCGGAATGTCTGTTCTCGGACAATTTTGGGACAGCTGATTTCGGTGATGGGCGAGGAGCCAGGCTCGGGCGCACGAGCGTAACGGGGGCGTTGGCCTGAGCCGCAGCGTTCCCGGGGGAGTGACAGGGTGCCTGATCGGCGACCCGAGTCATGACGGCTTGCCAAGGCAGAGGCACGTCGAAATGCCAGTAACACGTGTGGGACAGGTGTTTTCACTGTGTCGAGTGGGATGGGGAGTGGGATTTCCGTCAGAGGGGGGGGAAACTGGTCATAGGGACAAGGAGACGCGGGGATCCAGCATGTGTCCCTGGGTGGTTTAGGGTTGTGTGACGAGAGCATGCGTGGCTGCTTACCGCTGGGCTGCTCGGACGGGTGGAGTGGCGGGGACTTGGGGTTGCGATAGGGAAGTGGGTTGTGACTAGCGAATCTGGGCACCTTGTGCCTTGTCCCCCAGTTTGCAGGCTTGGGGAAGCAACGGTGCTGTGGGTTAGGGGGGGAAGAATACGGGGGGTGAAGGTTACGGCCAGAAACGCAGTACAGACCCGCGAAAAGGGGGGAAAACGAAAACAGACGAAACAGCAAACGCAACAGCGAAAGACAACGAAAACGAAAATGAAACTCCATAGACGAGGGGGGCAGGGCCTTCCGATACTTACCTTGTGCCGAGGAGAAATCGGGGAGGGGGAACCGGGCGAGAAATTCACTGGTTTGACCTCTGCGCTGGCAGAGCGGTAATGAGATCGGGAGCGGAGGCGTCATGGCGTGGAGCAGGCCATGGCTCTTTGCCAGCCAGCTGACCCAGGGATCTTCGGAGACATCCATCTGAGCTAGGAGAAATTTGTTTCGGTTCCACCTGTTTGGGACTAGGGGAGGTGCACCGAAGTCTCTTGGTGCTTCACCACCCTCTAGGGAGGTGTATCAAGGTCAACTCGCCCTTTGACCACCTCCAACCACTTTCCTTGCTCCTGATTGGACTCCAACCTCAAGGAGGCCCCACAAATTCGTCACTTTACGTTGGTGGTCAAGCACCACCCAATTTCGACCAATCAGATTGGTCGAAATTGCCCTAGAAGCGAATTTCGCCCAACAGCATTTCACTCCCACGAAATCCCACTAGACTCCCACGAGAATTCATGAGAACTCACCAAAATCTCGCTAAAACACTTCTGCTGATAGATTCTCCCGAGATCTCGCGAACTCTAGCGAGCACTCACTAAATTTCAAGCATATAACTCAATCATGTGAAATCCTCCGAAACACTCGCGAAATCTCATGAGTAAATTTTCCGCCACAAACAAACCACTGTAACAGTGTGCTGATTCTGCAGAGTTTTCTGCTATAACGGGAGCTTCTGCGGAAGTGCCTGGCGCAGATAGAGGTCTCTAGCTCTGTGGTTCTCTAAGGAGAGAGTTGCCTTCATAATTGTGTGTTTCCACTGAGTAAAGTGATGAAAGCTTAGGCACACAAAATCACTACAATCAAGATTAAAAAGTATGGTACACAAGGCAAACACTAGTACTACCCCATTGAACCTCATTGAACCCAGCAAGAATGTTCGCACAAGAACGTTTACATAACTACTCTAAGCTGCGCTTAGCCAAGTCAGCAATGGCAAGTGAAAATTACAGCACATGCTTTGTTGGTAATTTTTACCCACTCATGAGTAGTTATTTTAACAGTTTCATATATGAAACTGTCAGATGTTGCGCACATTTCCGCAGTTACGAAATGTGCGTCACGTGTTCAATTTCTTAATGTCGTAGGTATATTTTGCTGCTTTCGGTCCAGATCGGTTCTGAGGTTAACTTACGAAATCGCGAATTTCTCGCGATTTCGGAACGTTACATTCATCAGAAAAACTAAGTCCCCGTTTTTCTGTTGAATGGGTCGCTCGCAGAAGCGAAAGTCCGAGATGACCTCTGCCGCGCTTCTGCCGAATTTCGTTTCTGCCGAAGGGGTTGTCAACAGAAGAGATAGCCGAATTGCATTTCTGCCGAACTTCGGCATAACGCAATTCTGTCCGAGCAGGTCCTTGCGCCACTCTGCTCGAAGTCCTATTAGAACGCATTTCTGCAAAGTCGCTTCTGCCGAAAGGGTCGCCCGCAGAAATGTCTTCTGCGCGATACTTCTGCAGAGGACAACCCTTCTGCGAATGGCCCTTGGTGCCCCTGGTGCCCCTGGTGCAGATGGTATGCTAATTCTGCAAGTGGTGTGCTGATTCTGCAGGTGGTGTTCTGATTCTGCAGGTGGTGAGTGAGCAGATTCTACAGATGGTGAGTGTGCTGATTCTACAAGTGATGAGTTTGCTGAGTCTGCAGGTGGTGTGCTAATTCTGGAGGTGGTGTGCTGATTCTGCAGGTAGTGTGCCGATTCTGCAGGTGGTGTTCGGATTCTGCAGGTGGTGTGCCGATTTTGCATGTGGTGTGCCGATTCTGCCAATTCTGCAGGTGGTGGGCCGATTCTGCAGGCGATGGGCCGATTCTGCAGGCGGTGGGCCGATTCTGCCAGCGGTGGGCCGATTCTGCCGGCGGTGGGCCGACCCTGCCGACGGTGAGCCGACCCTGCAGGCGGCGGGCCGACCCTGCAGGCGGCGGGCCGACCCTGCCGGCGGCGGGCCGACCCTGCCGGCGGCGGGCCGACCCTGCAGGCGGCGGGCCGATTCTGCAGGTGGTGGGGTGGGCCGGTTCTGCAGGCGGTGGGGTGGGCCGATTCTGCAGGTGGTGGGGTGGGCTGATTCGCAGCTTCCAGTAGGATTGCAAGTTGTTTGAACTCATTTGAGAGAAACTTCGCAAACGTTTTCACGAAAACAACATCCACGGGTTATATTTCTGTTTGCCAGCCCAGCTGTCTCTCTTTCAAGTCTGTGGGGAAGGGGTAAGAAGTCAGAGAGGGCGGTCGCTTCTGTCACCAGAGCAAATCGTATCTATCTACAATCGCATTCATGCATTTTCTTTTCGATCCGCCTGGTGTACACCCCTTGTTAGAATGCTTGGGGCAAGAACAGGATGCACAGGTATTAAAGCAAATGGAGCCAAGTTGTCATTGCTTGTGTCCTACACGTATTCGCGAAAATTCCGGGTAATATTGCGAATCAATAATCTCTGCATATTTTTTTGTACACTACCTATTATGGAGCCATCCTATAGCATGCAAAATGTGTTTTTATAGCATCACGACACAAAAGGATACGAGTCACACACTAGCTGATGTTATATAACGTACAAATGGCTTGACCATCAATCCACTTTTTATTATCTCGAGCTAGATGTGGGTTTCACTCATCAACTTTTAACCTTCCCTGCATTTCATAACCTAGTGTTTATCAAATAGGCACCCTCATTACGCATTTACAGTCACAGTGCAGGTATGGACCAGATTAGTGCTCCCCGACAGGGCTTACGCTAGAAGGGTAGCTCCCCTAAATGTCGAGAAACTAAGAGTTGTTCAGACCCTGAACCCAAATTTTAACAGGTTTGGCTTTGCCGAATCTCTGAATGTCGCCGAGTCAATGAGCCTTAGAATCCTGAAGCATTCCGTGAAGTTTTTCATGAATCCTGACGAGCTAGACTCCCAGCATGGTGTTCTGTAAGGAGAACTTCCATGCGCCACTGCGTGGAGAATTTTCCCATGCCGAACACCAAAGTTGAGGGAAATTTTCGGGACTTAGCCATGCATTTCATGTGCACCCCGCACAGTAGAGTGGAAGTCTGACAAAGTCCTTACTCTTAGGCGGAGTAACTACCTCGAGAACTCGGAAGGATTCCGAGGAAAAAATCCTTGGAATCCGGAAAACTCTGGGTATTATTGGACCCTGACTCGGCACCTTCCGAGACACCCTAGGACCTAGCGTAAGCCCTGCTCCCCGACATACGTTCCCTTCGACGATTGGCTGATTTCAAGAACCACTCGTTCCTTACCTCTGGTTGGGTGGGAGAATGGGTTCGAGAATCGAGAAAATTCGTGCCTTAGGGAATCTCCCCTCAGGGATCTGAATGGCATGGCATGGCATAGCTGCACAAAAGTTCACCTCTCGCTAAAAGCACGTCCCCAGAGGATTGCGTTGCGAGCGGCCTCCAGCAGAAAAGTCCACTCGCGGTGTTTCCTGGTTTTTCTCGGTTTTGCGCGGTTCCTTTCCCTTCCATGAAGGCCGGTCAAGCCAACGAAACAAAAACAACAAGCAGTTGCAGTTTGGTTTGCTTTTGAAACTTGGAGGAATGGTTGCTGTAGCTCCTGCTGCTTTCTTCTGTTTCATGCTGCTGGTGTGGTTGTGATTCTGCTGCAGAAGGAAAGCATTTTTGTGTCTGCACTGTGCCAGTGGCCTAAGCTCGGTACAGTACAGTTTCCAGAAGGCCATGGTTCATGGCTCTTGCTTCACCGTTCCGCGAGAGCAACTCGTCTTTCGTGCATCAATTGCACGAGTGTGCGACCTTGTTATCTAGCTTCTTATGCATGCTTAGAATAATTGATTCCCAAAATGTCACCTAGTTTGAGTCTTTAGGAAGGATTGTGCTCTCCTACGGGCTATTGAAGTACCTACCGATTTCGACTGACGTTAATTCTGGTCTCCTTTCGCGTCCCGCTCACGCCATCCGCGATAGTATGTACATCTCCAAGAATGAGCAGATCCGTTTTGCTTCTAGCCGCCGTTTCCTCGGGGTCGGCTAGCCTCGGCGTTACCAGCAATTACCAGGGGAAAGAATCGGGTGTGTAGTCTCGCACGCTTCATAATCGGGGAATCATGAGCGGCGTTTCGCACGCTTCGCCTAGCCACGGCGTGCTGATGTCTAACGGATCCGAGCCCAGCAGGCGGAATGGAACCGTCGGAGCGTCTCCCGTTAAACTGGCTAAGGCGTTTGATTCAGGGTTGAATGGGCAGACCGGTGATGGTGTACAACCTAGCGTGCTTATAAGGAGCGGCGGTAAAGATTCCGATGGCGGGAAAGGCCGAATGTTCAGGAAGTCGAGTTCCGTCGCCGCTGAGACCGATCCAACATCGCGACAAAAGTTGCAGGGGACGTCGCAGTCGCAGGCTCAGTCGCAGCTCCTGTCGCAGGCGGCGTCGCACCTGTCGTCGCAGGTCCAGCCGCAGTCGCACATCGACGCTACGGACGGCAGCAGATTACTGTCGCAGGCGTCTGGGCTAAGACTGGCGGAGCTCTACGCATTGGCGATGCAGCAGAAGCAGGAAGCCCAGGGGGAAATAAACGGGAACAGCGAGCCTGGTCGTGGGGATGACGTTGCGAGAAAGCCAGGGGATTTGTACAGTAATGACCTAGAGATGGGTGCGAATGGGGTTGATACGAGACTGGCGGCTTCTGGACAGGCGCTTGGGGAGCAGAAGGTAATCTCGAGGCAGCAGCAGCAGCAGCAGCAAACGCAGCAGTCGCAGCAGCAGCAGCAGCAGCAGCACCAGCGGCGGCGTTCCCCTTCGCCATTGCGTCGGCAGGAGGCTCGGGGGGATATGTCAGTGCTGGCCGACGCACAACTTACGGACGGGCGGAAAGGCGGAGTAGGGGCGCCTGAACAAGCCGCAGCAGCAGCAGCAGCAGCAGCAGCTGCGGAAGAGATGGCACGGGCCGATTCAGCAGGCGGTTCAGCAGCAGCAGGCAGAGCAGGTGCAGGCTTTCCCAGCGCTGCCAGCATAGGGGACGTGGTTCCAGAGGCCGATCGTAGATCATCAAGCAGGGCAGCAGGGGCAGCAGGGGCAGCAAGGGCAGCAGGAGTAGCAGGGGTAGCAGTAGGCGAAGGAGGCACAGGGGGAGGCAGTGAAGGGGTTGCATCAGGCGGGGAGGTGTATAAAGAGGTGGAGATGGTGGTAGACAAGGGGCGTTCGCACCTGTTATCGGAAGCAGCACGCGCGAAGCACGACGCGGCGAGGCTGAGAGCCGACATCTGGCACATGTGGCGCGAGGTGGCGCGGGCTAGAGAGGACGTGGCACGGGCGCGGGAAGAGGGGGCGAGAATGGCGGAGAAAGCGGCAGGGTCGTTGGAGCAGGCCGCCGTGGCGTTAGAGCTTGCTGCAGCCTGCGAGCAGGCAGTAGGGGCTTGCACGGGGGGAGAAGGGGAAGCAAACGCTGCCGTTCGCGTGGTTGTGAGAATTGATGGTGCTGTGGGCGCTGGGGCGTTTGGGGGGGGGGCAGCAGGTATGGGTGGTATGGGTGTTGCCTCCACTCCCTCGTCTGCAGCCTCCTCCCCCCGCTCCATCCACGCTGAATCGTCCGGTTCCGCCGTACGTGGCTCGTTGGTTCGGGGCTCCCGAGCCTTCCCATCCGTGGTGCCTATCCGAGTGCCCTCGCGCTTGACTGGAGCACAGGCTTGGACCATGCCTCGTAGTGCCACCTCTACCCCTAACAAACCCTCTGCTTCGGCCTTGCCCCCACCATCCCCGAACACTCTCCGAAAGAAACTGTCTATATGGGGTGCTACCTCTGGTACTTCAGCCAACGCCACCGCCACCAGTACAGCGGCTGCTGGAGGGTCAGCAAGCGTGGGTGGTGGTGTTGCTGCTGCTGCTGCTGCTGCTGCAAGCGCTAGTGCTGACGCGGCTCTTGGGTCGGACTCCCCCTTTGGGGGGTTCCCTCTGGGATCAGGAAGCGGGGGCAGCGGTGTTGGCTTGGGGAGCGGGCCTGGGAGCAACAGCAGCAGGCCGGGGAGTGCTTCCAGTCGGCCTGGCAGCGGGAGAATCAGAGTGCGTGCAGGGGGTGGTAGTTTCGGTAGTGGAGGTATGGGGAGTGGGAGTGAGGGTGCTGAGAGGGCGTTTTTGACATCCCAGCAGCAGCAGCAGCAGCAGCAAGCGCAGCAGGTGCTGGTGGTTCACCATAGGCCTCAGCCGCAGCAGCAGCACCAGCAGCAGCAGCTTCTGCGGCTGCAGCAGCAGCAGCAGCTGGGAAGCAGCATACCTGCTGTTCAGGCTTGGCCGAGCCACAAGAGGCCCGGAAGTTGCGACGGCTATATCTCCTCCAATCAGACATCGCCACGTGCTGATTCAGTGGCAGACATAGGAGACTCGGACGGAAGTGATGACAGGGGATTGGAAGGTTCGGAGCCTCTCGCTGCTTCTAGCTCTGGCGAACTTGCCTCAAGGGGTGCGTCTGCATCTGCTGCTGCTACAGCCGCGGCTTCTGGCGCTGCTCCTTCCGCAGCAGCAGCAACAGCAGCAGCAGTAGCAGCAGCAGCAGGAGCGCCTGCCGTTCGGCGAATCTCCTCAGCAGTAGGAATGGCTGCAGGAGGTTCGGGAGGCGCCGGCCGGTCTGGTCCGGGCTCGGGCTCGGGTCTGGCCCCGGGAAGCCGGGTGTTAAGGAAGATTAGTACCTCTCCCATGAGAGTCTTACATGCTGTCAACCTGCCCCCTACCGGATCAGCAGCAGGAGCAGCAGGGTCAGAGGGAGCAGGGGTGTTGGGAGGAGGGCGAGGAGGGGGGTCTATGGGTAGAGCACGGGGTCCTGGCAACAGTAATCCTGCTGCAGCAGCTGCTGCTGCTCCGTCTGGTGGTGCTGGAGGTGGTGGTGCTGGGGTAGGGCGTGGGATGGCCAATGCTGCAGTTGCAGCTGCCGGGAGTGTGGGAGGGAGAGCGGCCACGCGAGTAGTGCCGTCGAGAGGAGGGCTGGTGCTGGGTGGTGTGGGTGGGGGAGGGGGAGGAGGAGGAGGAGGGGGAGGACCAGGAAGCAGGCCGGGGAGTTCTGGTAGTATGCGAAGTGTGGGTCGGGGAGGTGGAGATAGGGGGGCTGGCGAGGTGACAGGAGGAGGAGGGGGAGGAGGAAGGATGATGGTGAAGTCAGGGAGCCTTTCTGGCAGCACTGCTGGCGCCCATGACTCGGTTGCGCGCAGTGACAGCAGCAGGAGCGAGGAGCAGAAGGTGCTGAGACATCCAAGCCCACCAACAGGTACTGCTGCTGGTGCTGCCGCTGGTGCTCCCGCAGGAGGAAGGAAGATGGCGCCTCATGCTGCTAATGGCGATTCCGATGGGGCTGCAGGTAGCACTGGTGCAGCAGCAGCAGCAGCAGCAGCAGCACGAGGGAGAGAAGGAGGAGGGGAAACTGGAGTAGCGGGTGGGGGGCAAGGAGCAGAGAGTGCAGGAAAGCTAGGTGGCAAATCGGGACCTGGTGCGTCGAGTGCAGTAGCTGCAGCAGCAGGAGGAGCAGCAGGAGGAGCATCGGGGGCGGGTGGAGCAGCCACAGGGGCCAGTGCAGGAGCCGGGATGGTGGGGGCAGCAGGTGCTTCTAGTGTGGGACTGATGCGGGGAAACAGCCTGCAAAGGGGAGGCGGTGGCCTGTACAGAGCAGGGTCAGGCGTGCACATGCAAATGCCCGTGAACATGCCCATGCACATGCCCATGCCTATGGTCTTTCCTGGTGCTCGTGACAGCCGGGGATTGCTAAGAACGGGCTCGGGTATGGTGATGCAGATGCCTCTCCCTCATATGGTAGGGGGAGTAGCAGCCGCGTCTGCTGCTGCTGCTGCTGGAGCGATAGGCTTTGGGGTGGGCGGAGCAGCAGGGACTGCTGGTGCAGGTGCGGGAGGGGCAGGGAGGGGTGCTGCTGGTGCGGGTGGTGCTGCTGGTGGTGCTGCTGATATGAACAATCCGTTTCACCGCTCCACGTCCCTTGGAGTCTCGGAGGGCCGGCTTATGGCCAGAGCTGCCGCATTTGGCGGTGCCATGATGCGCCCCCCCATCCACGCCATGCACATGCCTCCCCATGCCGCTGCTGCTGCTGGTGGAGCGCTGGGAGCAGGTGCTGCTGCTGCCGTTTCTGGTGCGGCGGCTGCCGCTGCAGCACCAGGAGGGGCGTTCTGGCAACGCTCTCTCTCCTCAGCGCATCAGCACATGCAGGCTATGCAATATGGCCATATGCCTGTGGCTCTGGGTCCTCTAGGCTTCCCCACGGGCCATTCTGCGTCGTCCTTAATGCGCCATGGTAGTGGGCAGTTCTTCCAGCCCTGCCCTGTACCAGGCCTCATACCACCTGCTTCTACTGCTGCCCCTGCTAATGTGCCTGCTGCTGCTGGTGGTGCTCCTTCTGGCGCTGGTGCGGCAGCAGTGGGGCCTCCTGGAGCACCAGGCCATACCCAGCAGCAGCAGCAGCATCCCACCCATCTCCCCTCCGGTGCCTCTGCCGCCGCAGCAGCCATGACACAAGGCCTGGCTTGGAAACCCGCGCCCAATGCTGCACCTGCTGCCGCTGCTGCTCAGAATGCTGCATCTGAGGCGTGGGGGAGAAGCAGCACAATCGGAGCATCTAGGCACGGCTTTAACTCCTCCCACTTGCCGCGTGGCATGGGGGCAATGGGTTTTGGAGCCAGTGCAGCCATGAACATGAATGTGGGCATGGGCATGGGAGGTGGCATGGGCATGGGAGGTGGCATGAATTTATCTCGGTCTATGAGCATGGATCCTATCCAAAAGGCCAAGTGGAAGCAGGGACTAAGGCTGCATATTCCCAAGGATGGCAGTGACGAGGAGGGGGAGGGCGCCAGGGTCGCCATGGGAGGGGCAGCAGCAGCAGCCCATGCAGCAGCGTCGGCTGGGAGAGCAGCAGCAGCCGCTTCAGCAGTAGCAGAAACGCAGGCAGCATCCGCAGCAGCGCGGGGGAGAGCAGCCGACACAGTAGCAGCAGGAGGAGGCGGCCTAGCCAAGGAACCTCCAATCATCCAACGGTTAGGCGGGCTCGCGTCAGGAGCACAAGGTCAGGGCGGAAACTCAGCAGCGGCGGGGAGGGGAGGCGTGAGTCTGTGGAGCCGTGTGGGGGGTGGTGGAGACCGGTCTCTGACTCGCGCCCAGAGCTGCAGCATTGCAGAGCTGGACTTGGTGCCACCTGAGCTGATGAAAACCACATCCTTTCATGCACACAGTGGGCAGGGGAAAGAGTTCTTTCTCCGCCAAGTCACCCTCCCCACCCAGCGCTCCTCCGCTGCTGCGGCTCCTGCAGCCGCCGCTCCTACCATGCCTGCTTCGTCCGTTGCTGCACCTGCTACGTCTGCTACGTCTGTGAATTCTGTTTCATCGGCTGCTGCTAATGGTAGTGGTGGGGTAAGGGTGAGCAGAAGAACTGGGTCAGGTGGTGGTGGCGGTGGCGGTGTCGGTGTCGGTGTCGGTGGTGGTGGAGTTGTCGGTGGTGGTGCGAGGATGGTTGCTGCCCCTGCTGCCCCTGCTGCTCCTGCTGCTCCTGCTGGGAGAAATGCACTGCCGGCTGCTGCAACATCGGCATCAGGAGCTGGGGCAAAGAAGGGCCAAGGCAGCTGTAGAATCAGGAACAGTGGCAGCAGCGGCAGCAGCAGCAGCCAGGGAGGCAGCAGACACGAGGGTGGAGGTAGCAGCAGTGCTCTGAAAAGAGCGGAAGGCCAGAAGGACAGACGAGACCAGCAGCAGCACGGGATGGGGACAGAGGGAGGTGAGAGAATGAGGAAGGAGGGAGGCGAGAGGAGCAGTGAGGCTGGGGCTGGGGAGAGTCGGGCTAGGAGCTCTGGCATCACACCCTCTCTCCCCCCTGATTCCTCCTCCTCTTTCTCCCCATCGTCTACGTGCTCCAGCCCCCCTCCCTCTGCACGCCGAGGGAGGAGTGTGATTTTGGGCCCAGAGGGGAGGGACAGGAGAGGGATGAGGGAAAAAGCAGCAGGCATACCTGGGGTAGGCAGGGGACAGGGGCAGGCTCTGGCAGGAGGGGGAGGGGGAGGGGGAGGGGGGAGAGGAGCAGGTGGAGCGACAGGGAGGGGGAAAGGGGCGACTGCTGCGCAGAGTAGAGTGGCAGGGGAGGGAGGGCAGGTGGGTGGGAGAGAAAGGCCTTCTGTAGAGGACACTGCATCCTCGTCGCTGCAGTCTGATTATGGTGATGAGGAGGGGGAGGAGGAAGGGGAAGTGGAGGAAGGGGAGGTGGAGGATGAGGGGACGAGTGTGGAGGACAATATCAGTGATGGTGAGGATGGGATGTATGGAGATGGAGGAGATGTAGGAGCTGGAGGGGACGATGATGGTGACGAGGAGGACGAAGGGGAGGGAGATGAAGACGATAGTGCGAGTGATGGGAGGGAAGAGTGGGAGGGAGGGGGAAGTTGCGGCGAAGGTGGAAATATGTGTGATGTGGGAAAGCAACGTGCAGACCGTGCTAAGCCAGTTGCCGGCACTTTTGGATCGACTGGTGGTGTTGGTTTAGACAATGCGGATGGAAGTGAGGATGATTACGAAGAGGACTACTCTGGTGACGATAGTTACACGAATGGCTGAGCAAGTCCCTGGGAAGGACACCGCATGGTCATTCAGCCCATGCAAGTGCCTATTTTTCACGAGTAAATCACTCTGATTCTCTGATTTTCAGAGTTGATTTTGTGTACCACCCTTACGCCTCTGGGAAAAAAATTGAGATTATACGTTTTCTCTGATAAGCCAGGGTTTTCTTTTGTACCATCCTGAGGGGTTTACTGGAAGGGGGATACCCTGGATTTTCTTGTACCCCCCTGTCCATACCTGCCCCCTTGTTCACGCGGACCGCCGAGCTGGCCCACGTCATATACCCCCAGATTTTTGTGTAACCCCCTGTCTACATACGTGGCCTCATACCATATCCCCGCCGTATTCACACGGACCGCCGAGCTGGCTCACGTCACATGATGCCTGTCTCGCCTTTGCTGGCAGATTCCATGATCCCTATTGGACACATGTTTTCCTCGCGCCTTCCTTTTTCCAAGCCCTCTCTAGCCCACTCCCCCACTTTAGCCTCTCTCACAGCATTCACGTACGGTATCTTCGTTCCTCCCCTTAGTCGTTTTTTCAGCAAACGCCCTCTTGATCCCGATGACGGCGTTACAAGTGGGAAGAATCCAGGCCCTTGGCGCTCGCTAAGTGCCATGCCCTAACTGTTCAAATTATATTTTACATAATTGTAGGCTTGGTAGTTGTGCTACTGCATCCTACTCTAGAGGGGATAACTCCCCTTCTTGTACCTGATTCTCTTCTAGTTCAATCTCTTCTTTCTCGACATTCCTTGCCTACTCCTAGATCTACCTTCCTCACGCCATTCCATGGCGCCATTCCTTGCATCCTAGCTAAGCTGGGTTCCTAAGTTTAGTTAGTGTCCTAAGCTTCTTTAAGATGGTATCAAAGCAGGAGGTCCTCCCTGCTGGACCGCCTACTCACGCTTCTTGCGCTGCCATGGCGCCCGTGTCGTGCCGTTGGCCGCGTCGTGCCGCTGCCGTCGCGTCGCGCTGTCGTGCCGTCGCTTCCGCTGCGTACTTCCCTGTTTGCCGCCGTCGCGGCCATCCTGGTGCCTGCCGCCGTGGCATCTTTTCCAAGATGCCGCGGTGGCCTTTGTGTGGTGTCGTCGGCCTGTTTCCGTCACGCATCACCTGGTGCGGTCTTCGCAGCACGCAGCCGTGGCGACGCCGTCGACGTCAGGCCGTGGCGGCGTGACGGCGCCGTCGTGCTGACGTCGCGGCGTCGACGTCCCGCTGCAGTGCCGACGCCGCTCTTTGACGGCGCCGATGGGCTGCGACTGTGCGACGCCGGTGACGCTGCCGCCGCCCACACGCCGCCATCCGCCCCTCCTCCCCGCCCCACCCCTTCTCCTTGCATCTCCTCTTCCTCCTGCCGCAGCTGCTGTCTTCGGCTCGGTCGTCGCCAGCCCGTGCCACACCGCCGAGAGCCCTCAGCCGCCGCAGTCGCCGCCTGTCCTCCTCGACACAGCTGCCTTGAGCACGAGCTCCGCCGCTGTCGTTATTGAGGCCGCCCAGATACGGCCAGCTGCCTCTCGTCCGGGGGTGTCATCGCCTAGCACGAGGGGTCGATACCCGGCTGCTCACGAGAATGAGGGTGTCCGGGGTTGGGGGGTGTGTGTGTGGGTTGAGTGGGCTTGCCACTAACAAGCCTAGGGGGTGTGTTCAAATTATATTTTACATCATTGTAGGCTTGGTAGTTGTGCTACTGCATCCTACTGTAGAGGGGATAACTCCCCTTCTTGTACCTGATTATCTTCTAGTTCAATCTCTTCTTTCTCGACATTCCTTGCCTACTCCTAGATCTACCTTCCTCACGCCATTCCATGGCGCCATTCCTTGCATCCTAGCTAAGCTAGGTTCCTAAGTTTAGTTAGTGTCCTAAGCTTCTTTAAGATGGTATCAAAGCAGGAGGTCCTCCCTGCTGGACCGCCTACTCACGCTTCTCGCGCTGCCATGGCGCCCGTGTCGTGCCGCTGGCCGCGTCGTGCCGCGGCCGTCTTGACGCGCTGCCGTCGCGTCGCGCTGTCGTGCCGTCGCTTCCGCTGCGTACTTCCCTGTTTGCCGCCGTCGCGGCCTTCCTGGTGCCTGCCGCCGTGGCATCTTTTCCAAGATGCCGCGGTGGCCTTTGTGTGGTGTCGTCGGCCTGTTTCCGTTACGCATCACCTGGTGCGGTCGTCGCAGCACGCAGCCGTGGCGACGCCGTCGACGTCAGGTCGTGGCGGCGTGACGGCGCCGTCGTGCTGACGTCGCGGCGTCGACGTCCCGCTGCAGTGCCGATGCCGCTCTTTGACGGCGCCGTCGGGCTGCAGCCGACTGTGCGACGCCGGTGACGCTGCCGCCGCCCACACGCCGCCATCCGCCCCTCCTCCCCGCCCAACCCCTTCTCCTTGCATCTCCTCTTCCTCCTGCCGCAGCTGCTGTCTTCGGCTCGGTCGTCGCCAGCCCGTGCCACACCGCCGAGAGCCCTCAGCCGCCGCAGTCGCCGCCTGTCCTCCTCGACCCAGCCGCCTTGAGCACGAGCTCCGCCGCTGTCGTCATTGAGGCCGCCCAGATACGGCCAGCTGCCTCTCGTCCGGGGGTGTCATCGCCTAGCACGAGGGGTCGATACCCGGCTGCTCACGAGAATGAGGGTGTCCGGGGTTGGGGGGTGTGTGTGTGGGTTGAGTGGGCTTGCCACTAACAAGCCTAGGGGGTGTGTTCAAATTATATTTTACATAATTGTAGGCTTGGTAGTTGTGCTACTGCATCCTACTCTAGAGGGGATAACTCCCCTTCTTGTACCTGATTCCCTTCTAGTTCAATCTCTTCTTTCTCGACATTCCTTGCCTACTCCTAGATCTACCTTCCTCACGCCATTCCATGGCGCCATTCCTTGCATCCTAGCTAAGCTAGGTTCCTAAGTTTAGTTAGTGTCCTAAGCTTCTTTAAGACTAACAACCCTGCTAGCATACTAGCAAAACATACCACACCACATCACATGCTACGAGTGGCCGCCAATTCCGCCACTGCTGCCGCTACTACGAGTGACGCCAATTCTGTTGGCTGCTGCCGCCCATGGGACGATTGCTGCTGCTACTGCTGTCCATAGTGGGATCGTAGCTGCTGCTGCTAAGTGATGGAATTTCCGCGTAGACTGCTGTTGTTAGTTGCGAGTGCCACGATTTTCACTCATATTGCTATATGTGACGAGATGAGATTTCAGTCACTGTTAACGCAACCAGTGACACGATTGTTGCTCACGTTGCTTATGTGTGTGAGACAGGATCGCCACTACCGCTGTTGCTGCTATGGGTAACGAGTTCCTGCTACTTGCTGAAACGGCAGCGCAGGGTGAGATTGCATCAGTTGCTACTACAGGTGACAAGTTTCTGCAGCTGCCGCAGTTACGAATGTCAAAAGTCTGCCTGCTGCTTCTAGTGTGTATGGCATGATGCTGATGAGTGAATAAAGGAATCTAATGCTGTATTTTATTGCAAGAGCACCTGCCCCCCTAGATCCACGGTCCCTAATAACACACATTGTTAAGAGGGTGAAATTAAGGCACCGTGACTTGTCAGAGTAAAAAACTCCAAAACGTAGGGTTACTCTAATGCCTCAGGGTTAATGTGGAGGACCACTCTGGTTTTCAGAGTAGTGGGGAAAGTAACTTCCAGATTTCAAAGTAGTGAAAATCCAAAGATCAGCACTGGCCCATGCTCGCGCAATGCTGAAGATACCGAGTTCAAATTTGGCTCGTGCGTTGTGATTGTTGCATATTTAGAGAATGCAATCTAGTTGGGCTATCGTCTATTAAGCGCGTATGTGAAATATACAAATTTATGCTGAACAGTTTTTAGTGCTGATAACTCCTCGATAAGACTCAACAATTTTTCTGTTGTTTTGTGTGATTGGTTGAGTCAACGAGGACAGCCGATGATGAAGGTCCACCCGAATGCCATCTTCGTTTGACCCCTCGACGAAAGGGGTCAAATTCCTTCCGCCTAACCGACAATAGTCAGTTTCCGTGAGGCTTCTTGGTTTTTCTGCAGTGGCGGTTTGGGTTTGGGGAGTGCCTTTTGCTTTCGGTCAGTAAAATTCATCATTTGTACTGCTTGAGACGATTTGACTGGCTTGATTTCATCCTTTCTTGGGGCAATCGTGTATTCAAAAGAAGACTGTAGTCGTATCACTAAGACTGTCATTTTTTCATCTGCCAACAACTGTATTCCAAAGCAACTGCCTCTGCAGTCAAGTTCCTGCGTTCTCACGAAATTCCCTCACAGACCTTCCGCCGACTGCCGCCTGCAAGCCAAGCCTGCGTGCGGGGCGGAATGCATCTGTCCGTCCGCAGTCACCTCCCCGCGCAGCAGATCCCTGTTGACTTTACCCGCGCCCAACCACATGCATCAGCTGGCGCGCCACCGGAGGTAATCCCCACGTCCATTCCGCCAAACCGGCTCCCGCACTCCGCCGCACCCCCCAGTTTCGTCAACCAGGTTTCCCCCAAGAAGGCGCGCTGCTGGGATTGACCCGCTGCCTGCCCCCGTTCGGTTCCAACTTTGTCGCGGTTAGGCGCTGCCCTCCTCCGGTTGGTTCTCCGCCGTCGCGCCTTCGCCTTCCCCCACTAGTGTACCCCCACCCCTGCGCCTTTGGCTCCCCGCCCTCCCGCCTCTCGGAGTTCCCATTGCCCAACCAAGAGCGTGTTGTTCGCCCGTGCGCCCTCCAGGCTCCAGTCCAGTTGACATGACACACCACGCGAAAATCGGGATGCCTGTATGTACAGCCGCGCACACCTTGCCCTTGCTCCTCTCAACTCAACTCCCACCCTGTGAGCTCCATGACTCCATGGCTCGTAGTAGAGCCAACAGCAAACATGTTGTCCCGCATTTCCTCAGCGTAGTCTTGCGTCTTGAGTCTTGCGTCGCGACTGCTGCCTCTTGAGTCTTGCGTCTCGTCCCAGGGGGACTGCCTCTTGCCGCATCGCATGGCACCGCATCGCGACGCCTCTTTACGTCGCTCGACTCTCTTAGCGCGCACTCTTTCTAAGAGCGTGTATTCCCAATAATAACGCTGCGACGAGCCGTATCACTGCATCTCGATCGATTATTTACTAGCGGTTTTCTTTTCTCTTTTCTTTTTCAAAGGCCCTGGAATTGCCAGCGCTCGGAGAAGCATGATCAACTCGGGCGGACCGCTCACTTAACTCTGGTCAAGGCCACGCCAAGACAAGTACCGTCTGCATAATCAACACCAAGTAGCGTCGACATGAAAGCATCCTCGTGAATCCACGGGCACACGTCGAAATTTGTACTGCGAGTTCTCACCTCGAAATTCGTACTGCGATTTCTCACGTCGAAATTCGTACTGTCACGATTTCTCACGTCGAACTTGGTCACTCGCACGATGGCGACCCTCAGATTCACTCCCAGCAAACAAATCCCCGTTATAGGACCTCCCGCTTCACGGAAAATTGTCCAGCAACGGAAATCTATTCTCAACAGCGCCGCTGGCGGTGCCAGCGGGCTCTCTCGGCCGCGCCCTCACGCCGCCGCCATGCTGCTTCTACTTGCCCTGCCGCTCGTGCTCGGGGAATTTCTCCCAGGCCTAAACGTAGGGTGCTGCGGCTCTGCGACTACCAACGCCGGCCCTGGTACGGCTCCCACCAGAAGTAGCGTTGTTACGGCGCGAGGGGGGCTCGGCCGGAGAGCGCGGTTTATGGGCTGGCACGGTAGCAGCGCCGCTACTACTCGTAGGCTTATTCGTGGGGCGAGTAGACGCAATGGCGGCGGCGGCAGCAGCAGCAGCAGCGGCGAGCGTGGCAGGAGTGGCGGCACTCGAGGTCATGCTTTTCGCGATAAGATGGACGTTGTTATGGCAGGAAGAGTCCTCGAAGCTTCGCTCTCGTCAGTTTCTAGGAGTCTGGTTTCTGCAGCAGAAAGCTCATCTGGTAAGCTGTACTGTATTTTGAAACGCATCTGTATTTTGACCCGAGAATTACTACAAGCCAACAGGGGTGTTGAGTAATTCTCGCTGATTCACCAACTACACATCTGGTCCACCTCGTCGTTCGTCCCACTCTCTTTCCCCCTCTCTTTTTCCAACTCTGCACAATCCTCCTTTCTCCTCCGCCTATTCTTCCCTTCCCGGCCCCCTCAATTCCCCTTTCCCCCGTTCCCCTTTCCCCCGTTCCCGTTCCCCCCCCCCCCCCCACTTCCTTCCGCTCCGCACCTTCCCCCTTCCGCTCCCCCAGCCTCCGCCAATCTCCTACTCAACCCCAGCTTGGAGGGGGCCAGCTGGAACAACTACGGCAGCGCAGTCACCTCCGCCTGCTTCCCCCCTTCCGCCTCTGCTGCGCCCTCCGGCCCTCTCCTGGGCACCTGCGGGATCCGCCTCGCTCCCTCCTGCCCATCTGGCTCAGGTGCCTCCTGCTGGGGCGCCCTGGGTCAGGTGGTTTCAACAGAGCCAGGTGCCATGTACCAGCTACAGTTCTACCTGGCCGTTCCAGCACCAACTTCCTCCTCTTCCTCCTCCTCTTCTTCCTCCTCCTCTTCCTCTTCCTCCCCGTCCTCCTCCCCCCCCCCACCGTTTGAGCTCCAAGTGAAGATCGGTGGTGCATCAGTGCTCTTCACATCCGAATCTACCACCAGCAGCAGCAGCAGCAGCAGCAGCAGCGTCGGAGGGCTGGTGACGGGGCAATTCGCGATGGGATCCGTGCTGTTTGCAGCAGGCGGTAGCGGCAACACGAGCATAGTGTTCCAAGTGAACAGCACGGCTGTCAGCACTGTCGTTGACGCCGCTGTGCTCACCCGGATCTATGCCAATGGTAAGCGTGCTGCTGCTGCTGTGTGTGCGTGCTGCTGCCGCTGTGTGTGCGTGCTGCTGCCGCTGTGTGTGCGTGCTGCTGCCGCTGTGTGTGCGTGCTGCTGCCGCTGTGTGTGCGTGCTGCTGCTGCTGTGTGTGCGTGCTGCTGCCGCTGTGTGTGCGTGCTGCTGCCGCTGTGTGTGCGTGCTGCTGCCGCTGTGTGTGCGTGCTGCTGCCGCTGTGTGTGCGTGCTGCTGCCGCTGTGTGTGCGTGCTGCTGCCGCTGTGTGTGCGTGCTGCTGCCGCTGTGTGTGCGTGCTGCTGCCGTTGTGTGTGCGTGCTGCTGCTGCCGCTGTGTGTGTGTGCTGCTGCTGCCGCTGTGTGTGCGTGCTGCTGCCGCTGTGTGTGCGTGCTGCTGCTGCTGCTGCTGCTGCTGCTGCTGCTGCTGCTGCTTCTGAATGTGTTGCGGCCGTCATCACCAAGAGATGGGAAATCCGTGGGAGGGACAAACACACACGTGACGCTGTGGAAGGAATGGTTGGATGAATGAACGATTGAATGAGCCATCACTAACACACACACGCGACGAAGCACCACTACTACTCTTCATGCTAGGCTCACTCCCCCACTGCGACATACCCTCTTGATTCTGCCACTCTGACTGCCCACACACCTCACCACCTCACCACCTCACCACCTCACCACCTCACCACCTCACCACCTCACCACCTCACCACCTCACCAGCTCGTCTTTTGCCTGACCCTCTCTCATGCATCCCCGACCCCCTTCAACAGCAACGTCCCTCTTCTCGTTCCCAGCGCCTCCCTCCTCTTCTCGTCCCCCTTCCTCCCCCTCCCCTCCTCCTCCTTCCTCCTCCTCCCCCTCCCCCCCCTCCCTCCCCTTCATCTTCTCCGGCTCTGCGTCCCCCGGCTCTGACGCCCCCCCAACCAGCCCCTCCCCCTTGCGTCTCACGCCTCCCATCCCTGCTGCCACTGATGGCACTAGCAGCGATGGTAGTACTACCAACCCGTCAGGCTCTGGGGAGTACTCTCTTCTTTCCACTGGCGCGGCCTTCTTCCCTTTGCCGGTGGACCTTCTCTCCGTCTCCCCCCCTCCCCCTTCCTCCTCCGCCACCTCCTCTTCTTGCTCGTCGAAATCCTTCCTCTCGTCCTTCATATTCACAGCACTCCCTACACCCCCCTCCTCCTCCTCCTCCTCCTCCTCCTCCTCCTCCTCCTCCGCTCCCGCCCCTGTCCCCTCCGGTGCACTTTCCTTCACTCTCTCCTCCACCCCCGCTGCTGGATCCGGGGCGTCCTCTCTCGGATTCGCACGCATGTGCCACGGTCCACGCCCTGCACCGCCCTATCCATCCTCCCCTGCTCCACCCCCCCCTCCTCCTCCTCTTCCCCTCCCCCCGCTCTCCCATATCTCCCGCCGGGGAATGTGTCCGTGATGCCATGTCTCCCAAGCGTTGCTGTCCTTCTGAATAGCTGGCAGGACAAGTCCCTCGGTGCTGTCAGCAGCAGCAGCAGCAGTGGTGCTAGTGGTGGCAGTGCTAGTACATTGGATACGGGTGCGCAAGAGTCAGTGGGCCTGGCTTTCAATTTCGACGCCAACCCTGTCTTTTCAGCCCCCACTGCTGACCTGCTAGCTGCTGCTGGTGCTGCTGGTGCTGTGAGCAGCACCACATTGCTTGACGGCCAACCACACACAGTCACAGTCGAGTATTGTGCGCCCACGCGCACTCTCTCCGTCGCCCTCTTCTCTCTCCCTGCTCCCTCCGACCCCTCCGCGTCTCCTGAAGGCTCCACTGATCCTCTTGCCTCCTGCCCTCTCTCCCAGTATATCTCCTCTACCAGTAGCAGCAGCAGCAGCACAGGGGGCGTGTTCCAGGCGCCCCTGGACCTCTGTACTGCCCTGTGGCTTGGCTCTGGCAGCAGCGGTAGTGTAAGCAGTGGCATGTGGCCGTTGTACGTTGGTCTGGCGGCAACAACAGTGGGATTGGAGTATCAAGTATCCCAGTGGAGCTTCCAAGGTGAGGAGAAAGCATAGGCGGTAGTATGGGCGATAGAATGGGCGATTTTATGGGCGGTATGGCTGTATGGGTGGCTGTATGGGTGACTGTATGGGTGACTGCCGGTATGAGTGCGTGGTTCCTATCCATGTGGTATGGGCAAAACCTTCCACCCCATAACCGTCCAGCGCTCCGCTACTCTCTTCTCCGCTCCTCCCTTCTCCTCTCTTCTCCTCTCCTCTCCTCTCCTCTCCTCTTCAGCGTCTCTATCCCCCCTCTCCCCCCTCTGCTCCCCTTCCCCTGCGTCATTGCATGCAGCCTTTCCGCAGCAGCAAGCTCCCCCTCCAGGCGCCCCCACTCCAGCAGCCACACCAGGGAGTGCGATCAGCAACGGGGGGTTTGAGTCTGTGCTGCTGCGCCCCTCACACACTCTCTCCGCCCCGGACTCCACCTCCCTTCCTTACTGGCGCCTCACTCAGGGGAACGTGTCCGTCCTAGTACAGCCTTCTTCCTCCTCCTCCTCTTCCTCCTCCTCCACCCCTTCTGCTGGTTGGCTCCCAGTGGCCGGCATTCCCCTCCGCCCCCTCATCGGCACAACAAGCCTCGTTCTCCTCAGCTGCCCGAATATCTATTTCCCCGGGCAGGCCTGGCCCGGGGCAGAGTGCACGTCGGGCAGCATAGAGCAGCAAGTGGCAGTTGTGTCGGGGCAGCAGTATAACCTGTCTCTATTGGTGTTTGGCACTCCCGGATCGTCTCTCCAGGTGCAAGTGGGGGGGGTGTCAGGAGGAGTTGCAGGGGGAGAGAGTGTCTTGTCTGAAACGCTCACCCTTCAATGCTCAGACACTGCCATCTCCTCTCCATCCTCCTCCTCCTCCTCCTCCTCCTCCTCCTCCTCCTCCTCCTCCTCCTCCTCCCCTCCCGCTCCCTCTACAGTGTGTAATGCCTCCACATTAGTTTACATCCAGGTCTCTCGCGCTCTCACTCCCTCCTCCACGCTAGCCACACTCACTCTCACACCTCTCCCACCGCCGGCAGCCCCTGCGGCTGCCACAGCAGCAGCAGGCGAGGGCGGAGGCAGCAGCAGCGTCAGCAGTAGCAGCACAAGCGCGTTCTTTGTTGCAGTTGACGGTGTCTCCCTCCTGCTCGTGTCAGCAAACACCAACGGTAAGAGGCAATAGCAGTGGTAGGAGCCTTTGTGCGTCTACAGAGACCGATGGGATGGCAGTGGGTATTGAAGCACCTATCTACGTCTGCGTCAAGCCTCTCGCCTCCTGTCTCCCCTCCTGTCTCGCCTCCTGTCTCGCCTCCTGTCTCGCCTCCTGTCTCGCCTCCTGTCTCGCCTCCTGTCTCGCCTCCTGTCGCCTCCTGTCTCGCCTCCTGTCTCGCCTCCTGTCTCGCCTCCTGTCTCGCCTCCTGTCTCGCCTCCTGTCTCGCCTCCTGTCTTCCCTTCTGTCTCGCCTCCTGTCTCGCCTCCTGTCTCGCCTCCTGCCTCGCCTCCTGCCTCGCCTCCTGTCTCGCCTCCTGTCTCGCCTCCTGTCTCTCCTCCTGTCTCGCCTCCTGTCTCGCCTCCTGCCTCGCGTCCTGCCTCCCCTCCTGCCTCGCCTCCTGTCTCGCCTCCTGTCTCGCCTCCTGTCTCGCCTCCTGTCTCGCCTCCTGTCTCGCCTCCTGTCTCGCCTCCTGTCTCGCCTCCTGTCTCGCCTCCTGTCTCCCCTCCTGTCTCGCCTCCTGTCTCGCCTCCTGTCTCGCCTCCTGTCTCGCCTCCTGTCTCGCCTCCTGTCTCGCCTCCTGTCTCGCCTCCTGTCTCGCCTCCTGTCTCGCCTCCTGTCTCGCCTCCTGTCTCGCCTCCTGTCTCGCCTCCTGTCTCGCTCCTTTCCATCCTCACCACGCACATCACCATCAAACCCCTTTGGTAATCTCTCGCCTCTCCTTTCCCCTCTCTCGCTAATTCTCCCCCCCTTCTTCCCACCCCCCGCCCCCTCCTTCACGCACAGCTCCAGGAGACACGCAAGGGGGGGGGGAAGCAGGCACAGGGGGAGCAGCAGCAGCTACACCAGGAGCATCAGGGTCAGGTGGAGGGGGGGAGAGCAGTGGGGGCGGGGGTGGGGGTGGGGGAGGGGGAGGGGGAATGAGCCCATGGGCGATTGGAGTCATTATACTTGCAGCCCTCTTTGCTTCCTCCTGCATTGGCTGCATCTACTTCTGCATCCAGGCCCGTCGCAACGGTAAGTTTTGAGTTGAGGTGACTTCTGAGTCGACTCAAAAGGGCTTCCTCCCGCATCCGCTGCATCTACTTCTGCATCCAGGCCTTCTGCGACGGTAAGGGGGGATGTCATGAATGAGATTACTTTTGAGATGAAAGTCATCTCATGACTCAAAAGTCACCCCGTCGCAACGGTAAGGGGGGATGTCATGAGATGCTTGGGAAGGAGGAAGGAAGCATGCCTGCTGCACGCCTTGCTCTCTCTGGTCTTTCCGCTTCTTGAGAATTCACAACAACTCAAACAGCATCCGCAGCACCACACTATCCTCCCACGTCTTTCAGTAACCTGCCCACTCGTCTCCGTATCCTTTCCATTCCACAATCTCCCCTCTCCACTTTTACTCTGCCTCGCAGTCTCTTCCCACCCCTGGCGTAGTCCGTGGCTAAGTAGTTAACTGTGAGACGTTTCAAAACTGAACTACTTTGCTCCGCCTCGCACTCTCTTCCCACCCACCCACCCACCCACCCACCCGCCCGCCCAGCCCACATCAAGACCTGGGAAGATGCAGGCATCGGTCAAACCAAGCCTTTCCAGGTGTTCAAACTAGCGGAGCTCCAGAGAGCAACGGACAACTTCGCCCCGCGCCTGCTGCTCCCTGACGGCGCTTCTCCTGCTGATAGCACGCCAACTACTCCCACTGGTGCGGCGGCGGCGGCCGCTGCAGCGGCGGCTGCTGCAGCGGTTGGGGGTGTGGCTGCTGCTACTGTTGGTGCTGTTGCTGGTGCTGGTGGCAGTGCTGGTGCTGGTGGTAGCACGACTGCCCGTACGCCCAGAGGCAACACGGACAGCAGCAGCAGCCGACCCAGCACTGCTGATACTGCTGATGGCGCTGCTACTGCCGCCGCTGCTGCTGGTGGTCGAGAGGCATTTGTGATCGGCGGTGGTGCAGGGGTCGGGGGCACAGGGGGTGCATATGGAGACATGTACACGGGTAGAGGCCCCTCGGGGCAGATATGGGCGGTGAAGCGATACAAGCAGGTGGAGTGGGTGGACAGGAGGGGAGGGCGAGGGGGAGGGAGAGCAGGAGGGAGATGGACTAGAGGGGCAAGAACGGCAAGAGGAGGAGGAGAAGGAGAGGCGGACGAAGAATCACAGCAGATTCAGCAGCAGCAGCAGCAGGGGGAGCAGCAGCAGCAGCAGCAGCAGCAGCAGCAGCAGCAGCAGCAGCAGCAGCAGGAGCGAGCATCCATCTCGTTCCTGGACGAGGTGCGGCTAGTCTCCACCGCACAGCACAAGAGCATAGTGCGCATCTACGGCGCGTGCCACGAGGGGCTCGAGCGCCTAGTAGTATACGAGCACCTGCCCCCGCGCTCGTCGCTCTTCCACCGCCTGCACCGCTGCAGGGAGGACGTGCTGGGTCTGGAGCAGCGGCTGAGAGTGGCTGTGGCCGTGGCGGAGGGCCTCTGCTTCCTGCACTCGCAGCGGCCGCCTATCGTGCACCGGAATTTGAAACCGGCAAACATCATGGTTGGGGTGTCGGGCATGCAGGTGAGGAGGGGTGGGTGGGGTGAGGAGAGAGGGGTGGGTGAGGTGAGAAAGCGGCAGGTGAGGAGAGATGGTGCCATGTTCTGCCACTGAACACATGATTTGCTCTGAAGAGCAGGCCGGTACACCATTTTTGTCAGCCTACCAAGCACTTATCCACCCATCATGTTTCTCTACTCTTCCCAGCCATTCTTATCCCCCTCTTTTCCCTCTCCTCCCCCCCCCCTCCCAAACAGGCGAAGCTAGCGGATTTCTGCTTCGCGCGGCTGTCCAGTGAGCGGCGGGGCAGTGTGGTGCCGCGGCGGGCGCAGGAGGAGGGGTATGTGGACCCCGAGATCGTGCTCATGCCCAACCAGGAGCCGCACACCAAGTCAGACGTCTTCAGGTGGGCGCTTGTGTGGCTGGGTGGGTGGGTGCTACTCCTGGAGCTTCTAGCTGTGCAACCTGCCTCCTTCCACCATGCCCCACTCACACCTCCCCCGCCATTCCCCCCCGTGGGGCTGCTGGAGCTGCTCACGGGGGGCGACTGGCCATCATGCCCGACCCTCCCATCCTTCCCACCTCCCACCGCCCCTGTTCACCCATCACTCGCCATTCCTCCTCGCCCTTCCCCCCCCCTCTTCCTTCCCCCCCCCCCCTCGCCCTTCCCCCCCCCTCTTCCTTCCCCCCCCCTCGCCCTTCCCCCCCTCAGCTTCGGCGTGGTGCTGCTGGAGCTGCTCACGGGGCGGCTGGCCATCATGCCTGACCCTGACGACCCCAACCAGCGACTCAACATCACGGACTGGGTGAGGGGTGGGACGGGGGGTGCTGGGGTGATGGGTGATGGGATAATGGAGTGAGGCTTGGTACACTGGGCCCTTGGAGTGCGGGCCATCATGCCCGACCCTGGCGACCCCAACCAGCGACTCAACATCACCAATTGGGTGAGGGGTGGGAGGGGGAGGGGGGGGAAGTGTTGGGGGGGGATGATGGGGTGTGATGGGATTACGAACGGGTGAGACATGGTACACTGGGTGAGGGGGGGAGAGGAGGGCGGGTAACGGCTGTGCCGCCTTTGGGTGCTGCCAAATTTCACCGTGACCAATTTAGGCGCAACAACCGCCATTTTTCCCCTTTCCCCCCTCCCCTGTTCCTTCCCCGTCCCCCCACCCACCTGCTTCCCCCCTCCGTTCTACCCGCCTGCCCGCCCATCCCCCGATTGAATCCAGGCCGTGCATTACATCAGCGAGCGGGAGGTGCATCTGATCACCGACCCGCGCATCGCCACCCCGTCCCACCAAGAGGCCTTCCAGTCCCTCGGCCAGCTCGCAGTGGACTGCCTCAAGATGCCCTCCCTGCGCCGCCCCGACATGCCCACTGTCCTCCGCCGTCTGCTGGTGATCGTCAAGCGCCGGTTCGGACTCCGGGGAAACCCTGCTCCCGACCCCTGCTTCAGCGGGTTTCAGGCAGATACGGTGGGTGCAGGAGGTGCTGGTGCTGCCGCTGGAGCGTATTTCTACAGTGGAGAGATGCTGAACAGCCAGGACTTAAACGAGGCGTTCTATAGCGGGGAGATGAGCGGGGATCTGAGCGGCGAGTATGTGAAGAGCCGGGAGCATGCCTTTGGTACTGCTGGCAGCAGTGGTGGCTCTGGTGCGCCTATTCCTGGTCTCTCTGGGGAGCTGGTTAGCAGGAGAGGGCTCAGAAGAGCTATCAATGCGGCAGAGGGGAGTGCTGCTGCTGTTGCAGGGTCAGCTATAAGTGAGGGGGGAGAGGGGGGAGAGGGGGGAGGGGATGGGAGCAGAAGCAGAGGGAGCAGCCGCGGGGGGAGCGATGGGGGCAGCAGTAGGAAGTCTGGCAGCGGCAGTGGTGGTGGTGGTGGTGGTCTTGGAGCGACAGCAGCAGCGCCTGTCTCTGCTCCTGCCCCTGCAGCAGCTGCAGTTGCAGCAGCAGCAGCAGCACTGGCAGCAGCATCTTCATCGTCGTCAGCAGCGGCTGCGGCAGCAGCTGCAGCAGAGGAGGGTGAGGAGAACGCAGGGGAGGTGACAAGTGGCATGGAGCGGTGTGGATCCGCCAAGTCATGTGGCTCCAGCAGATCTACCCGGTCACACCAGTCAAACAGGTCAAACCGGTCAGTTCACTCTAACAATTCTGGCCATGCCAGCAAGAGGCCTGGCTATGTAGGTACCGTCCAAGTTGCAAGGGGGGAGGATCTGGAGGGCGTGGGAGAGGGGTCTGACCAAGAACGGGTGGCTCTGGTGGCGAAGAATGAGGCAGGGGAGGTGGAGGAGAGAGGGACAGGGGAGATAGGCGAGCACTCGGATGGTAGTGCTGATCGTGATGATGGTGATGGTGAGGAGGAGGAGTATGATTCTGCAACTTCCGCGTCGCTTCCTCCGTCTGTGGGGTCTCGAGCGTCCACCTCTGCAGGGCAACGAGTTAGGGGCCTTGCTGGCGCTGCTGCCCTGGCACCCTCACCACTGTCAGCACCACAACATGCACCCGCACTATCGCCGGCGGCACTGCCAACAGCAGCAGCAGCAGCACTGCCGGACGAGGCAGCGGCAGAAGCTGCAGGGCCAACGCTTGCAGCAGCGACGGCGGCAGCAACAGCAGCAGCAGGAATGAGCTCAGATCAAGAAGACTACGACGATTATAATCAGAAGTATAATTATGATGAATTATACAACCCTCGAGTGGTGAGCGGGGAGATTGCAGGGCCGGTGGGGTTCACGCCTTCCTTTGAACCCATAGCAGGCAGTGCGGAGTACGCAGGGGTGCGGCATTCTGGGGAGCTGCGGTCTGGGGAGTTGTATGGTGGGGTGAGCAATAGCGGGGAGATTCCTTTCAGCTTTGGTATGAGCGCATTGCATGGTGTGAAGGAAGGTTTGAAAGAAGGGCAAGGAGAATGAGCTGGTATAGCATGCATGCTAAAGCCGGTGGCTTGGAGACATGTGTGTTTGGCTCTTCACCAATGCAGTTTTTGCTCCCCAACAGTTTGGGACGGTTAGGGTACCCATCGTTTGTGCTAATGTGCTTGTCATCTTGGTATGTGGTTAATAGTTGTTAGTGGTAATCGTTTCGTACGCATGATTCATGGTTGACAGGCATATCCGATGAGAAACTAGACTATTCCTATTAAACTGAAAGTTGTGTGACAATATTGGTCTAAAGCAAGTACTCTAAACACCATTAATCTATATCAAAGTAATTTTGTATATTACACATTCACCACACATTGTTTTATGTTAGGCGAATGCATGTACCACAAAACATGTTACACAAGTACAGAAGAAGCTGGTGTTGGCAATGTGACGCCAGCCAACGGTCTAGTAAGTTCTGCTGGCAAGGCGGGTTCCTGGCGATTTCGCCAGTCGCCTGCTGCTGAACCCGGGCCGAGCCTCCGCACTGCACAAACCGTCGCGCAACTACGCGGATCCGTCGTCGTCAGTCGCTCGGCCTCGCAGAATCGCAGAGGGACCGAACATAGAGATCAGTTTCATGGGGAACAGATCGCAACGAATTGACTCGAGAACAGACAGCAGCAGGGAGAGAGGAGTACACCAGGAGGGTGAGAGAGGAAAAGAAGAGAGAAATTACAGCAGGGAGAATTACCTCATTTACCTTCACCTCAACTCCTGCTCAGCCTGCGTCTGATCTTCGTATCGGACCTTCCCCCAGTTAGCGGATCCTAGAGCTCATTCACGTGCTGATCGGCGTGTTGCAGCGGTGCACCATGTCGTCTAACGAGAAGGCGACGGTGACCAAGGAGCAGAATGACCGGCATAGAAAGGCAAGGAGCTTTCCTCGCGTAGTTTCGTCGCGACGTTTAATTAGCTAGTGTAGTTAACTCGACTCATTGCATCATGGTTCTTCTTCCTTTCGGAACTCGCTTTCCGCTTATCGATTGTCTCGCTCACCTCGCTCGCCTCCTTCTCTGTACTGCTCCGATCGCATGGGGAAATCGTGACTTCATCGCATTAAGAGTGAATCTGAATTCGACGTGTGACCATTCATCGGGTCATGGATGATTTTTTAGTCGACAAAAAAATCACCCCATCTGGTCATGGATACCGTCGGTTTCTGGCGAAAGGATCGCCAATCTCGTCGATCGATCTACACCTGCTGGATCATACTCGCCGGAATTCCCACATCGTCTCACCTTCCCCATTGGCATCACCCCCTCTCTCACATCTCACATCTCACATCTCACATCTCACATCACACGTCTCACTTCTCGCTCTGGTAGGTTCATCGTATCACCTGTTTTCCCTTTTTTGCCAGATTCTGGACGGTCTCCTGAAGCTTCCTGAGAACCGCGAATGCGCTGACTGTGGCTGCAAGTAAGTGCGTTCTTTTGCGGTTAGCCATCTCTGTCTTGTTGTGCTGACGAAGCGAAGCAAGGAAAGCAAGGAAAGCAAGGAAAGCAAGGAATGCAATTCTGACGAATCAATTATCTGCTGTGATGCACAGAGGGCCGCGTTGGGCGAGCGTTAACCTTGGAGTTTTCCTGTGCATCCAATGCTCGGGCATTCATCGCAGCCTGGGAGTGCACATCTCAAAGGTGAGTCTATCCTCTGTTTTGCTCTTTGACTCCCGTCCTCGTCCCATACGCGTCGCGTCATCCTGACATGAACCCGATTTGCGCGTATGTGTGTTGTTTCTCTGTTGTTACTTGTAGCAATTTACCACCTGGTCACTGCAATTGTCTGTTGAGATTGCATTCTGAGGGACCATTGATTCGTGATGCGCAGGTTCGATCAGCAACGCTCGACACGTGGCTGCCTGAGCAAGTGGAGTTCATGCAGTGTACGTGTGTGACATGCACTCACTGCTGCTCACTTGCCTGCTACTCTCCCTGCACTTGCCTTTTTGTTCGGTATCCTGCTGCGTCCACCTCGTCCCTGGAATCTCGTCCACCTCGTCCCTGGAATCTCGTCCACCTCTTCCCTGGGATTTTCTCCACCTCTTCCCTGCTTTGCGTGAACTGCCTGCCGTTCCTCTCCCGTAACGGTCTGCTCTGTGTTTCAGCGATGGGCAATGCCAAGGCGAACGCCTATTGGGAAGCGGAGCTGCCGCCACATTTCCGCCGCCCGGCAGAGGCGGACAAGGGAGCCCTGGAGGGATTCATTCGTGCCAAGTGAGTGCTTGCTAGTGCAGAAACCTCCTCCATATCCCCCCCCCCCCCCCCCCCTCTCCTCCCTCCTCTTCCTCTTCTCGTTCCTCCCCCCTCCCCTCCTCCCCCCCCTTGGCTATTGCGACTGCAACGAAAACTCCCCAACAGTATATGGGCATAGGTGTTCCCGCAGTTTCTCCGTCCGGTTGTTTCTCCCTCAGTTGGTTGCTGGGTGCTTGTTGCTGGTTGCTGGCCACGGGCAGCTCAGTGAGCCCACTTCCCCCGCTGCAGGTACGAGCAGCGGCGCTGGGTGCGGATGAACGACGAGGAGCGCGCGCGGATGCGCCAGAGCGCAAGGGACGACGACCGCAACAGTTACCGGGGCGGGGGGGAGCGGCCCCGCCGATACCACGACTCGGATTACGACAGGGACTGGAGCCACGGCGCGCATGCCACTTACAACCGCGGCGGCGGCGGCGGCGGCGGCGGCGGCGGGGGGGGTGGGGGGGGAAGTAGAGGAGGCGCGTATGATTCCTATGACAAGTATGACCGTTACGGTGGGCCCGGGGATAGGGACAGGGGCGGTAGCGGTGGCGGTGGTGGTGGGAGGTATGATTCCCATGGCGGGGGTTACGATCGGGACCCCCGGGGCGGCGGCGGTGGTGGGTACGATCGTGACCCCCGGGGTGGTGGTGGGGGGGGGTATGATCGTGATCCGCGTGGCGGGTATGACAGGGAGCGTGGGGGAGGGCCGAGCTCGCGAGACAGGGACTATGGACGGAACCGGGAGCCAGAGCCCCGCTCGCGCCCGGAGAGCAAGGGACCCAGCACCACGCCTGTGAAGGTACTACCATGTCGTTTTCCCCTACCCCTTCCGCCCCCCCCACCCCCCCTCCCCCCCCCCCTTCCCGCCCTCCCTTTTTCCCACCCGCGCACCCCCCCGCTTCCCCCGTTCCCCTTTATTGTTGCGGCTCATCTCTGCTTTCGTGTTGGTTCGAGGTGCTATTGCGAGCCCTGGCGTGGTTGGCTGCGCCCTTCGTCTGACTCTGTTCCTTTGCTGCTGCGTCCTTGGCGTCTATCCACAGGTGACCATGTCAAGCGGGCAGCCAGCTGCAACAGCAGCAACCCCTGTCCGTCCCCTGCCCGGTCCTGGCTTTGGCCAAATCCCCCCTGTGCAAGCTCCTGGTGCCCCTGCTGCTTCCACTGCTGCCGCCGCCGCGGCTGCTGCTGCTGCTCCCGCCACAGCGACTGCAGCTGCTGCCCCACAGGCTGCTCAGACGGCTGATCTGTTTGATTTCCTCTCAATCAGCGAACCTGCTGCACCCGCTGCTGCGGCTGCTGCTGCTCCTGCTGCTGCTCCCGCAACTGCTGCTGCTGCCACTCAACAAGCAGCACCTGCTGCAACAGGAGCGTGGGCGGCTTTTCCTGGTGAGTAAGCTTATGTTTCATGCACACATATTGTGGTCATAAAAACTGCTTAACGGGAGCATCTTCTGATTCCACTCTCGCCAGTTTGACCCCTTCTTCATCACGCTTCCTCTCTTCCCCTTCCCCCCACCCCCCCCATTCCACCTCATCATCCTCACTCCTCTGCATAGCCATCCCTTGGTGTGTATATCACACTTCCTCTCAGCTCCTTCCTTCCGCCCTTTCTTCCTCTGTCCCCCCCTCTTCCACTCCTCAAACCCCTCCTTCCTCAACCTGTCGTTTCTTTCCCACTAATTTCCGCTCCTTTTGTTTCATCCACAGAGGCTGCTGGTGCTGCTCCAGCTGCCAGCGCCCCTGCTCAAGCCGCCGCTGCAGGTGGTCAGGGATCCGCAGCAAACCCCCTGGCGGACTTGTTTGCTGCAGCGCCCGCAGCTGCTCCCGCTGCTGCACCTGCTGCTGCTGCACCAGCCCCGGCTTCCAAGAACGTCAAGTCTGACATCCTGAGCCTCTTTGAGCAGGTGCGCTCCTGATACTGAGTGCTGCTTGCTCCTCCTGTATTCGTTGACTGTATCCACACACACAGTATGACTTTCTTCGCCCGTTAAGGTTCCTGTCTCCACCATACCAGCAGTATGTACGCATTCTAGCTCCAGTCTCCCACTACTCTACGCATCCATGGGTCTTGTTCTTCTCCTCCGCTCCTGCCTTCTGCCACCTGCCACCAGGCCCCTGCCAGCAGTCCGTTCCTGGCACAGCAGCAGATGGCAGCTGCTATGTTTGCCCAGCAGCAGTACATGGCTGCAGCCGCTGCAGCTGCAGCCGGCGGTACCAATGCTGCTGCTGCTGGGGGCGCAGCAGTCAGCATGCCTGCAGGGGGCATTCCTGGCCTTGTGGCTCCGGCTCCTGGAGCAGCAGGAGCAGCCGCTGCTGGACCTGCAGCAGCTGGGGTAAGCAAGGGAGGAAGGGAGGAGTATGGTCGTTCGAAGTAATCCCCCCCCGCCTGCCCCCTCCCCTCCTCCGCATTCTGCCTCCTGATCCGATATCTCCACGGTTAGCTCGTGTGATTTATTTTCCACTTACAGATTTGCATCGCCTCTTTTCTTCTTCGCTTTTATCTGGCAGGCTCCTGGCATGTTCGGAATGCCAGGTTTTGTGCCTGGAGCAGTCCCAGCGTTTCCTCCCACTGGGTACGTATCCTCTTTCCACTGCGCCCGGTGAAAAATGCTTAAGCCGCACTAGGCTTACTTGCCGTTTGTTTGTAAACTTACGGCATCGCTCGTCGTGTTGTGGTTGCAGGGTGTTTCCTGGGCAGGCAATGCCTGGTGGTTTCCACCCGCAGTTCATCCCAGGCATGACGCCTCAGCTCTTTCCTGGCCAAGTCCCTGCAGCTGGCGCTGATGCTGGTTTTGGTATGCCCCAGGGATTCGCTGGCCTGGCGGGAGTAATGCCTGCAGCTGTGTCTGCCCAACCAGCTGCTCCAGCTCCAGACACGGGTGCAAGCTACGACTTCTCGTCCCTCACTGCAACAGCACTTTGGAAGTAGAATATTGTTGGAAATGTGGCAGCGGAGGCAGATTTCTTTTTTCAGGAACACTGAAACCTTGTACTTGTGGTTACGAGGAGAAGACCATCCGCCACCACCCCCACCCATCACCTATTTCAGGGCCTGTATTCTGACGTCCCCTGGACTGCATGTGAACTACTTCCGAGTCTGTTAGGAGAGGCATTATTTGAGTACTAAAACCTTCAGCATTGGATCATTGTGTATGGACAAGGCGTTGTACGAGTGGTTAAACGTGAAGTGTTTTCTGGAAACATGGTGTTGCGAGCTTGTTAACAGAACTGCCTGTCTGCCAGTTCAAAGGGCGGTTCGACAGTCCCAGTTGGCGCCTGCATATTGGAAGAAGTGGCCCTCCACGGAGGCTTTCCCCGCGATTTCCACGTGCGTCCACCTGTACTCTGACCTTGGTTGCATCAGTGCGCCTGCTTGGTGGGTCGACTGACGGTCGACTCCGAGCCAATCGGGGCAGGGCCCACTTTTGCTTTCCCAAGGCCTTTCCACATCGGCGCGCCTGCTGTCAGTGCCACGATGGCAGGGCAGATATCGTTCACGTGGCGGGTGAAGAATGGCTGAAGGGGTAAAGTGCAGGGCAAGCAAGAACTCCGTGAGGATACTGGACCCACCCACCATACTCGAGATTGTATCCATTCAGGGACAGTCATCAGGCATCAGATGATTCAGATCACAGAGGCCAGGTGTAAGAGAAGTGTGAGGAATGCAATGCATCAGATCAAAGCAGGCACCAGAAAAAGTGATGTTTTTCCGCTGCTTGTAGATCAGAAGGCTGGCTGTCTGCTGCTGGTAGCTAGCTGGGTCATACAAGCACGCTGTTTTTCCGCGTGCTGGCTGTCCTCAAGGGGTAGTATTTTTGCGTCTTTTTGCTGGTTGCCTGCCAGTTTCTGCACCTTGTTTTCTGGCTGCAGCGGAAAGCATTTCTCAGCTGTTTACTCATCCGTACTGCAAGGTGATGTGCTGACAATTGCGGAAGGCGTTAGTACGCAAGGGAGCTCGCTTGCTTGTTCTGTTTGGAAGATAGGCTTGGTGCATGCCAGCATTTGCTGGTCGGGAGAAGCATTGCTCTGGAAAATCTTCAAAAAAGTTCCGCTAATTCAAGATGCAGTCATGTATGTCCTATCCGGTCAGCCAATTGAGGGTATCCATACCGAAACTCCCTCAACACGATCCAACGTCTTCGCCTTCCTTCTTTTCGAGCTCTGCCAGCACTCGCACTTCTCTCAGAAGCTCGTTCGTCCAGACTTGGAGACAGGATGCGATGTCTCTGCGATCGCCGCCTGTGCGACGCCAACAGTCGGTCTTTCGCGCGCTGGCTGCTGATTCGCCGTCTCCTTCCTCAGGCAGCCGTTCTACAAACCGTTCTGCACACCAGAGTTCAGCCAACCCAGCCAACCCTAGACGCGGCTCAGTGACTCGGCGCGCAGCGGTGACCTCCGAGCCGACGCCGGAGTCTGGAGGGGAAGGGTCCATGCGTCTTCCCTCCGCTGGAAGCCTATTCAGAAAGATCGCCTCGAGTATCCCCTTGCCTCGCCAAACAAATCCTCCTCAAACACCATCCGCACCCTCTTCTTCAACTGCTGGCTCCTCGTCACCGTCGATCGCATCGGGAGATTCCTCCGTCCCTCGTTCCGGCCTCAAGTCCTCGGCGGGTATAAGGCCCCGGTCTAAGAGCGGCGGGGATACGGATCTGGACCCCAGCCGCGCGCTGCCGCTGCCCATGACGTACCCAGACTCGAAGCCGCTTCCGTTAGAAACCGTGGAAGACATGGTTCGATGCGACCCTGATACCCAGGTGAGATTTGACCGTATTTTTTCATGTTTGGGGGGGTTTCATTGCCTTGTCACAAATGCAACGCTTGAACTACATTGGCATAAGTGAATTTTGTGAACCGCGGGAAGGCCGCAGCGCCGTTGAAGGGATTCCGCTCGGCCAAGGTCTAGGACGCGGAGGGGACTACGGTATTTGGCGAGATATCGCCAGGGATCCCGAACGATGGCGGGATCCCTCTTTTTTTGGGGGGGGGGTGGGGGGGAAACTTTCAGTGATCCCAGGAGGATTCACGGGATCCCGAACGATGGCGGGATTCCTGGCGATGTCGCGCCAAATTGTCCCCTCTGCGTTTTGGACCTTGGCCAAGTGGACGTTTATGAGCATGCGTGTGCATGCAGAAGAAATATTCTCTGAGTGTGCCTTGTTTTTCTTGTCAATGCGTACCATTTCACTCCATGACCCTCCGTTGCAATCTGCAGAACTGCAAGGAGGTGGTGTTTCAGTGGACGGGGAAGTGCACTCGGTGCAATGGCGCAGGCTTCGTTTCATTCCGAAGGAAGAAGGGGAAGGATTTTTCAGGAAAATGCATCACGTGCCATGGAATAGGTATGGTTAGGCCTCTAATGTGTCATGTTTACTTAGCTTTATCACGCACTGGCGCTGCACTTCCCAATTTCAGGAGAAACCTTGTTTTTTTAGCAGCAATTGCTTATCTTTTATGCCCTGTCATGGACTCTTTCTCATTGTCTGCGTTTGTTTGGCGTCTTTGGTGTATGTCAGGGTATGTGAACAGATTCACTGTGAGGGATGACATCCGTGTAATGGAGGACCCGGACTATCCTTGGAATGATGAAAGGCTGCGCTGATGGAACAAGGGATGCCAATTGGATGTACACTTCGTTGCCCACCAAATTATTTTGTTTGGAAGTGTCTATGATTTGAAGTTTCGGAACCTGCTTAAATATGGAAGAGAATGTTAGAGTAATTGAAATGTCCTAAGGAACAGTTAGATAACACATTGCAGACACCAGATGAATGTGTGACCACCGCACTTGTGCCCAGTGCTCTTCTAAGGAGGATATTCTTCCCAACCTACGTCGCTGAACACTAACTTGATCAGCGATTTTTTTTTCGTTCGGCTGATCCGTCTGACTGACAGCCCTGCGAAACTTCGACCACCGCACTTTCTCTCACCGCCGTATCGCGCCTCGTCCCGTGAATCCCGTGATTCCCGTGAACTCTTCACTAGAATCTAGAGCATCCATGGTCGACTGGTTACGACGATCCATCCATCACCACGGCTAAGTGGCATGTCAACAGCACCGTTCGCTAGCCAACCCGTGCTGTGACGGACGCTTCTCCTAGTAGTAGTGGCTCCTGACAGACGCTCCTACAGTCTATTGCTCGTTCGAATGCGCTCCTAGAACAGAGTTCACCAGTATGCTCATTCGACCTTTCTGCGCCGTTGGATTGGATCGGTGATTCGAGGCAGTTTCTAGTTTCAAGCCGAAGGCCTCGGCTGGGAATTCTCCTCGCGACGCGTTCCTCCTCGCCTACCATAGCGCTGACCCATTCATCGCGCGTATTAGTTCATACGAGTTCTCCGCGCGTCGCGCCATGATCGAGAGCCTCTTCATTCTCGCCGATAACGGGTGAGCGTGGCTAGTTTTGAGACGCCTCCAAGCTAGACTCTTATCACGTGGAGGCGCCGTTTGAGGCGACCTCATTCTCGCCGATAACGGATGAGCGTGGCGTGGCGTGGCACCTTATGAGCCTCATGAGCCTTTTGAGCCTTTTGATCCAGTCGGCTCGAACGGCACGTCGGGTGAGCGCGCGCGCGCGCGCGCGTAGCTCCCTGCTGGCTTGCCGTACAATTCCAGAGCCCGCACTCGCTGCTCTCTTCGTGCTAGGCGTGATCGAGCCGAGGCCACGCACTAGACTTGACAACATCCTCGCCTCCGGTCCCCCCCTCCGGTCCCCCCCTCCGGTCCTCCCTCCCTCCCTCCCTCCCTCCCTCCCTCCCTCCCTCCCTCCCTCCCTCCCTCCCTCCCTCCCTCCCTCCCTCCCTCCCTGCCCCCCTCCCCTCCCTCCCCCCCTCTCTCCCTCCCTCCCTCCCTCCCTCCCTCCCTCCCTCCCTCCCTCCCGCCGCCCCTCCCCCTCCCCCCATCATGTCCGCCTGGCAGCGAGGTAATCCTGGAGAAGCAGTGGGGCGGGCGGGCGGGCGACCGGCGCATCTGCGCGTGGTTCTGGTCCGCAGTGGTGGACGCCAGCGGTACTGGTGGGGCAGGTGCGGTGCTGGCGCCGGTGCTGGTGGCGCCGCAGTGCTACGTGGTGCAGCAGCGGCACGAGGACGTGTTTCTGCTGCTCACCACGACGCAGGAGATGCCGCCGCTTATGGCGCTTGATGTGCGTGGGGGCGTGGGGACATGGGTTCATGTTGGCGTGGTTGCATGGGTGCATTTTGGCGTGGTTGCATGGGTGCATGTGGGCGTGGTTGCAGATGTGGATGTGCATTCGCGTGGGAACGCCCCCCATTCCAATCTCGCTCTCATACACAACATGCCACACACAACCCCCAGATCAAACCTTCCCTGCCTTTCCTCCCCGTCGGATACTCTCCTTGCTCCTCTCGCTCTAGATTTGCGGCGCCTCAAAATTGAGGCGCCTCTAGATTTGAACCCTGACCGGTCCTTTGAGTCGACTCAAAAGGAAACCTGACCGGACCTTTCCTCCCTGCCCCCCCCACTCCCCCCCCCACTCCCCCCCATCAGATACTCTCCTCGCTCCTCTCGCTGCTCACCACCTATCTCGGCCGCGTGTGTGATGACTCGCTAAAGGACCACTTCGTTACAGTGTACGCTCTCCTGGACGAGGCGTTTATAGGGGGGATGCCCATGACGCTGGAGCCTGCACTACTCAAGGTGACACCTACCACTTACCGCTTACCACTTACCACTTACCACTTACCGCTTACCACTTACCACTTACCGCTTATCACTTACCGCTTATCACTTGCCGCTTATCACTTACCGCTTATCACTTACCGCTTATCACTTACCGCTTACCACTTACCAAATGCAAGCCCTTAGTTCGTTCCTCCCTTTTATTTCTCTAGTCCTCTTCTCCCCACCCTCCCCCCCACCCCCCTCCCCACTTCCCCGTTTGCTTCCATCTCGCTCCCAGGAGCTCGTCCCGCTGCCCGCTCGCTCTCCTCGCCAAGATGGTTGACACCATAACCGGGGGCGTGGGCGGGGCGTCCGCCGCAGCAACCGCCCCTACTGCCATCCGGAGCATAAAAAACTCACAATCCTTCCACCCCCCCACTCACCCCCTTTCCTCCCCCTGGTTGCTCCCCCCCCCATCCCCAGGAGCTCGTCCCCCCTCCTTCTCTCCTCACCAAGGTGGTTGACACCGCCACCGGGGGCGTGGGCGGGGAGGCGGCCACAGCAACTGCCTTTGATGCGCCTCAAAAGCACACAGTCCCTCAACCCCACCTCTTCCCCCTTCCCCCCCTCCCCGCCTTCTTTCCCCCCCATCCCCAGGAGCTCGTCCCCCCTCCTTCTCTCCTCACCAAGGTGGTTGACACCATCACCGGGGGCGTGGGCGGGGCATCGGCCACAGCAACTGCCACTGACGGGCCTCAAAAACACTCCCCCTCCCACGCCCGCGTTTGCTTCCTCCCCAGGAGCTCGTCCCCCCTCCGTCGCTCCTCACCAAGGTGGTGGACACCATCACTGGGGGCGTGGGCGGGGAGTCGGCCACAGCAACCGCGGCCTCTGCAGTGGCCAGCATGCCGGCCCAACTCGGCCGCTTCTTTGGCGCTGCAGGCGCTGCCGTCGCCAGCTCCGTTGCTCAATCCCTGGCCAGTAGACCGGGGGGGGAGGGGGGCTGGGGCGTGGGCGGGGGAGGGGGGTGGGGAGGGGGAGGGGGAGGGGGAGGGGGAGGGGGTGGGGCAGGGGCAGGGGGGGCAGGTTCAACAGGGGGGGGGAGCATGGGCGGGTTTGGCAGCCGTGGCATGACAGCAGGGGGGGGTGATGTGGGCCGGACGGGAGGTGGCGCTGCTGCTGCTGCTGGCGTGGGTGGTGCTGGTGCGGTTGGTGGGGGCGTGGTTGTGGGTGCAGGTGGTGCTGTGCGTGTGGGCTCGTCCGCAGCGCTGCCGTGGCGGCCCTTGGGGCTCAAGTACCTGCAGAACGAGCTGCAGATCGAGCTAAGGGAGCAGCTGGACGTCACTGTCGCGCCGTGAGTGTGTTTCTATGTCGGTCATTCCCTGTGTCGCCATAGGTGTATTTCTATGTCATTCCCTGCAGCGTCGTGAGTGAGTCGCTCTGGCGTGCACACTGCCAGCCAGGGGATGCTTCAGCTCAGCAGTTCAGATCCATCCAGCTTCGTGAGGAGTCTATGTTTGAGGCGCCTCGAAAATTGGCGCCTCGGAAATTGGCGCCTCGGAAATTGGCACCTCGGAAATTGGCGCCTCGAAAATAGACTCCTCTGCCAGGGGATGCTTCAGCTCAGCAGCTCCATCCAGCTTCGCACATGTCTCATGTCTCACACGCTGTAATCTGTACATACCGACCTTCTAAGCGGTCTGCTGTATGGCCTTTCGGTTCCTGATATGGGAAGGCTAAGTTCATGTTACACACCTTCTGCCCATCCCTGTTTCACACCGTCTACCTCGCCGTCCGAACGCGTTAGCTTCTCCTCCCCCCTTCAATCCTCCACCCCCTCCCCCCCCTCCTCTTCCTCCTTATCTGCATGGCAGGTCAGGGTTGGTGGAGCGGTGTGACGTGTACGGCGAGGCGCACGCCACGTGTCGCATGTCGGGGATGCCAGATGTCGCGCTGTCGTTCGTGGATGCGCGGGTGTTCTCTGACATCTCCTTCCACCCCAGTGTGCGGTACCGCGAGTGGCAGTCCGACCGGGTAGTCGCGCTCACCCCTCCCGACGGCAACTTCAAGCTCCTCTCCTACAGGTGTGCTCTAGAATCGAATAGTCCTAGGGCTCGAGTAGCTTTTTAGGCGCCTGAGAAGTCTTTCTGTCTGTCTCTTGGTGTGCTGACTGCTCTCTCCTCCCCATCCCTCGTCCAAGGGACCGCAGCAGCATCCCATGTGTGCCCATTTACATCAAGCTACACATAGGCTTTGTAAACGGGCAGGTGAACCGACCTGCCTTGTTACTCCTCTACTCTCCCTTCCCCCCCCCGTTCCCTTTCCCTCCCCCCCCGCAGGTGACTTTTGAGTCGACTCAAAAGTCACCTTCCCCCCCCCCGCTTCCCACTCCCCACCCTCTACCTTCCCCTGTATCCCATGTGTGCTTCCCCCCCCCCCCCCCGCTTCCCGCCCCTTTCCCCTGCATCCCATGTGTGCCCATTTACATCAAGCCGCAGACAGGCTTCGTGCGTCTAAGTGAGCAGGTGAACCGACCCGCCTTGTTACTCCTCTACTCTCCCTTCCCCCCCCCTTCCCTCCCCCACCCCCCTCCCCGCTCCCCACTTCCCACCCTCTACCTTCTGCTCGTGCTGTGCTGCTGCCGCTCTGTCTCCCCCCACCCGCCCTCCCCACCTCTCCTCTCCTCGAGTGATTCCCTCAAGCCCCCCTTGTCTCTTCCTCTGCTCATCTCCCTACCGTCCTCGTCTCCCCATCCCTCCCACCAGGGGCCGTAGCATCCCATGCGTGCCCATCTACATCAAGCCGCAGATAGGCTTTGTGTGCGACAGCAGGCAGGTGAACTGACCTGCCTTGATTCCCCCCTTCTCTCCCTCCCCGCGCCATCCCTTCCAGAGTCCGCAGCATCCCATGCGTGCCCATCTACATCAAGCCCCAGATCGGCTTTGTGCGCGACAGCGGGCGGGTGAATGTGATGGTGGGGATGAAGCACGACCCGGGGAAGCCCGTCGAGGGGCTTGTGCTGCTGCTGCCGCTGCCACCGCAAGTGAGCTCGTGCGACCTGCAGGCCAACGTGGGCACTGTGGCGTTCGATACAGTCACCAAGGTGAGAGGCTCATGCCTTTTACAGTCGCCGCAAGTACCATTGGTCACATGCCACGAGAAAAGAAAGAACCCCTGCCTCTTCGGGGTGTTCCCTCTCAGGGGACCTCCACCCCTTGTGCCTCGAGTCACCCACCCCTCCCCCATTCCCCCTCCTTCCCCCTCCTTCCCCCTCCCCCATTCCCCCTCCTTCCCCCTCCCCCAAACCTCTTCCTCCCCCCTTTCCCCATGTACTCCCTCCAGCTCTGCACGTGGTCCATAGGCAGAATCCCTCGAGACAATAACCCCTGCCTTTCCAGGGACCTGTGTCTCTGGGAGGCTGCTCGTTGCCCATACCACCCTTCTCTTTCCCCCTTCCGCCCTATTTCCCTCCCCCCTTCCCTCCAGCTCTGCACGTGGTCCATAGGCAGAATGCCTCGAGACAAGAACCCGTGCCTGTCAGGCGGGCTGCGCGTGTCGTCCCCTCTCCCTCGCCCGCACGTGCACCCGGTGCTGCTGGCGCAGTTCCGGATCATGGGCGCCGCGCTCTCAGGTGTGCGCATTGAGTCGGTGGTGGTGAGAGGGGAGGAGAACCGGCGCCCGCACACAGCGTTCCGGTCTGCTACCACTGCCGGGTGTTTCCAGGTCCGCAGTTGAGCGGGCGCTGACGGCTGAGGATCACGTGATAGAAGTCTAGTTTTGAGGCGCCTCAAAACTAGACTTCTATCACGCGAGTTGAGCTGGCGCTGATGGCTGAGGATCATGGGGGCGGCACTGCCACATGTAGTTGGGATGGGAGTCTGTGTGTGGTGGTGCGAGGGGAGGGGGGGAGAAACGCACACTCGCACACTGCCGGGTGCTTCCAAGTCCAGACGTGAAAGGAAAGGACGGGGACGGGTGAGGGTCATGGGGACCAAGTCGGGAGTTAGACGGTGAGGGGTGCAGCGCTGTCAGGAATGAGGATAGAGCCGGCGGCGGTGTGAGGGGAGGCAGGGAGAACGGGGATGAGTGCACACAGCACACAGCACACAGCACACAACACACAGCACACAACACACAGCACACAGCACACAGCACACAACACACTGCACACAGCACACAGCACACAGAACACAGCACACAGCGCACAGCGCACAGCGCACTGCGCACAGCACACAGCACACAGCACACAGCCCACAGCACACAGCACACAGCACACAGCACACAGCACACAGCACACAGCACACAGCCCACAGCCCACAGCCCACAGCCCACAGCACACAGCACACAGCCCACAGCACACAGCACACAGCACACAGAACACAGTATTCGGATCCGCCACCCCACCACTGCCCGGTGCTTCCAAGTCAGGGCGGTAATGGATGCGCGGACGGCTGAGGGTCATGGGCGCCTCGCTGTCGGGTGAGAACTGAGTCGGCGGTGGTGGGAAGGAGAGGGGGGGAGAGGGGAGAGAGTGGACGCCTAAACGTGGTGTTCCTATCCGCTGCCACTGCCGGGTGCTTCTAGGTCAGGAGTTAGCTTGTGGCGTAGGGAGGGAGGGACCAGAATCATGGGCGCAACGCTGTCAGGGGTGTGGATAGAGCCAGTGGTGGTGCGAGGGGAGGGGAGGAGGGGAGGAGGGGAGGAGGGGAGGTTGGGAGGATGGGAGGAGGGGAGGAGGAAAACTGAAGGCATCAGCCGCACGCTGTGGTCTACTTCCGCTGCTGGGTGCGTCCATGTTGGGACGAGTGGGCATCGGGCAGTGGAGTGGTGTGGTGCCCTGCCACATGAGGGTGACTTGAGTTGAGTAGCTCGTGGCTGGTTTTTGAGTCGCCTTGTACATTTCACTGGTATTCCTGTGTGAGGGGGGGAGGGGCAAGAGCATCTGTGAGTTGCTTGCATTGCAGCTACATGCACATAGAACCACACCGGTACCAGTTTCTTCTCTGCTAATTGAAGGTTTGTACAGTTACAACTTGCTGGTACTTCTCACATAAAAGGCACACAATCCAGTACACCTGATGTTTGGTTCCATTCCCCCACCACTTCAGCACAGTCACTCCCTAGACCCATTTGAACTGCCTACTCAACAGTAGGCAACTCTTATAACCTCTATGACACTAAGATGCCACTGTGGAAAGCTTGGCTCTTGGAAAAGACGAGCAGGAAGGGCTGTAGCAGCAGGGAGAAAGAGGGCATCTCACACACACGAGCCACCAGCATTTGCAGCTACCGTACATGCATGTGACGTGACCCTAAGAAGGGTGCTTGTAACAAAGCCAGGCTTCTGCTGCTTGGCTCGTGATATTTCCATGCTGTATGCTGTGGCTGCTGCTGCGGCTGCTGCGGCGGCTGCTTCTGCTGTTGCTGCTGCTGCTGTTGCTGCTGCTGCTGATACCATAGCACATATCCTCGTCTCATCTATGCACATTCACACCCACTCTTAGCCAGTAACTGGAGCGCCTCACAACACCAGCGATCAGCAGCACTTAGCTAAGAGAAATCCACGGAGTGCGCGAGGTACACAAGGCTCGCGTCACTGACGAGTTGCTTTCGAGTCGACACTCCAAAGCAGACTTCGTCAGACTTGGTAGAGCGACACAGCAGCACTGCTTAACTAGAGAACTCCACGGAGTGCGCGAGGTACACGAGGCTCGCAGCGCTGACGAGGTGCCACGTGGAGTGGCGCACGACGAAGTCCCGCTGGCAGCGCGACTTGCGGCTCCACGCCAGGCACGAGAGCGACAGCAGCGACAGCGCCGCCAGCTCGGCGCGCTGCGCTGCTGACGCGCAGTAGAAGGCCATGGCGCGGATAGGGCCTAGCACGGCTGGGGGGGTGGGGGAGAGGGGGTGGGGGGTGGAGGGAAGGGGGGGAGAGAGAGTGGGAGAGTGGTAGAGGGAGGAGATAAGTGACGAGAGGTGCGAAATGGGGTTACAGGGAGGCTGGTTATGCATCGGAAAACGGCGGACGGAAGAAGCACGGCGCACGGGGAAGCGAGAACGGAACGTTTCATAAACCGACAACTCACTCGCACAGGTGGCGAGGAAGCGGTCGACGCGCGGCCAGACGCGCGACGATGTGTGCAGACTGTCCGTGAAGAGGCTACTAACGGTCACGAGCGTGAAAACCGCCGCGAGAACTGGGCACCCGTTGGCCCCGAACGCGTACGCGACCGCCAGGTACAGCAGCGACGATGCGGCGACGATTAGCGAGAACTCCACGCGCACGTGCGGCGACTCGCCGCTTCGCATGATCATGAAGTGATGGTGTAACCATGTTACCGGCCAGGCGAGGAGGACGAGGAGGGAGATGGTGAGGAGGCGGGGGACTCTATACCGCCGCACGAAGTTTCTAAGCGGCGAGTATTTGAACCCCTTGCGCCGCTGACCGGGATGTGCGGCGGGCGCGAACGCGGACGCCGCCGCCGTCGCCGCCGCCGCCACCGCCGGGGGTCCGCATGATGCGCTTTGCCCGTTGGTACGATCGTCGGAGGCGGTGTCTGTGGATCCAGCCGCGGATTGCGGATGCTGTTCTTGCAACGGGCGCGAGGAGTCTTCGCACATGCAGCTCTCGTTAGAGTCGCAGTCGCAGAGGAGGCAGATGGCTGCGGTGGTGGCAGCATTAGGGAAATCCATGGCTGGCGGGGAATGAAGCGGCTCGTCTTAGAGCGGCGGGGAAGGCGGGGAAGGCGGGGAAGGGCGGGGAACTAAAGGAATCCGAGTAGAGAAAGGACGGAGTTTGATAGACAGAGCGAGGAAACGCCAGGCAGGTAAACGAGTCTCCGTATGCAAGAGTGTATACGAGGGGATGGAATCTCCGGTGCCGCTAAGCGCTGAGAGGGGATGCGAGCAGCGATGTCGCGGAGCACGGCCGCATCACAAGCCTCGGCCCGCGAGTGCCAGTGGTAAAGCTGTGATACTAACACGAACTTGATAAATAGCGCTGGCTGGCTGGCTGGCAGGTGGTGCACGGACGGCGAACTCCCCTCTTCACCACCAGGTATTGAGCTGTTTCGACACGCAAGACGCGGTACACAGCACAAGGGAAGAGTTGATTCGGGGGAAAAACACGAGAGCCGTGAGTGAGCAGCTAGCAAAGCAGCGAAGCAAGATATGGCGGCGAGACGAGACGAGAGAGGGTCACGTGGAAGTAGGGTTCTGCCCGTGCATACATCCAGCCCTGCTGCTTGCGCTGATTCCCCTCTTTCGTGGTTCTGCTACTTCTTGCTCGTTTAACAGCTGTGCTGTGGGCTTCGGTACAGTTCTGTGAATTACAGTGCGGTTCCGCTCGTTGCTTGGCGGGAGAGGCTTGGAGGGATGGCGGCTGGCGCGGGGTGAATGTTAGCGAATGTCGTTTGGCTTCCCTGACGAGATTCGTCGAGTGGTACGTTTGGCTGTCGCGAAAAGGGGATGGAATGGAAGTGCGAAAGGAATTGGGATGTGTGGGAGGAGAAATTCAATCTTCGCTGGCCGAGGGCGGAAGAGAGAGGGAACGGGGGGAAGAATGCGCCACCCATTCCGCGATCCGGTTCGCGGAGGGCCATTGCGCTGCTCCTGGACAGAATCCCCCGCCCGACGGCTGCTGGAGCGGGGTCGTGTCAGTCAGGATCATCGTCGCACGGAACCCCATGAATCAACGCGTCGAATAACGAACGTCGTTGATATTCAAGTGACCAATTAAAAACAGTCGTTGTACCGCACGTGTGACCAGAATCTGCTGAATTTCTGTCGTACTCGTGCACCTTTGTTCACGAGTCGGTACAAAGGATGTGGATGGAATTATTGGTCGGGGGGGTGCACTTTGAGACAGAATCGGGCTGAGCATTTTGCGGACATCATGTGTAACACAAACACTGCCCCTCGCGCGCCAAGTGCTGCCAGCGCCGAACCGCTGAGGAGGTTATGGAGATCCACTCGGCATCCAGTGGATACATCTGGAGTTCTCCATCCCCACGTCAAATAGGATCACTGGTGCCACATCGGAAAACGTGAACCTCAGCAGAAGTGGTACCACGTCAGCGCTCGAGCACAAGCCAGGGAGACAAGTCGTCAGAATCCGTCTTCTCGCACGTGATTGGCTTTGGTGCCCTCAACCACTGCCTGACTGCAGATTTGGCGGAGCGGCCCACCTCAACAGCCCTACGGGACAGGAACATTTCAAGAAAGAGTGGTGTACAAGCGAATATCTCTATACAGGATAACTAGCATGAAGTAGCATGGAAATATTGATCAAAAGCATACACAATGCTCCACAATGTAATTAGGTGCACTCAACAAAAGCATATATTACAAGACGAGTTGCCAATCATGCACGCTATAACTTTACCCAATCGTCCCATCGCCTGTCAACTCATCCAGATGGCTCATTTCCGCCATCAATGATCCATGGAATCCGCCTGTGCTTGGCCCTGTCCGCACTGCTCCCACACGCTCCATTGTTGCTACTAATGACACTGCTGCTGCTGCTGGAAACGCAGGTACCACCGCTACCCTTGCTGCTGGCAGCACTGCCAACAATCCTGCTAGCAGTACCACTTTTGCTGCTCCTGCCACCACCACCAACAGCGGTGCCAAGACTAGAGCCCCACACCGGATCATCCCCCTCTTCCTCCTCCCTTGACTCCACTGCCTTCCTGCCTACACTCCCCGCTGCTGCTCCTCCCCCTTTAGCTGCCGTTGCTACTGCCCCCGCCGCTGCTGCAGCTGCCGCCCCTCCGAGTGGCCTGTCCCCGAGTGGAGTGCGGGAGGAGGGAGAGCAGCGGGAGGGCTGAGACGGCGCCGGCAGCAGCGGTGAAGAGGGTCTGTCACTACGGGAGGGTGAGTGGAGAGAGGGGGATGCACGGAGGGAGGGGGATGCATGCAGCGAGGGGGACGCATGGAGGGAGTCAGCAGGGGAGGAGGATGCGCTGAGGCTCATGGCATAGGCAGCGGAGTCCCCCCGGGAGAGAGGCAGCGCCATGGTGGTAGTGGCATAGCTCATGCTGACGCTGCGCGGGATGTACTGCTGCCCTGCAGCACTCATGGCCATCGCTGCCACCATGTTGGAATCCACATCCATACCCATGCCCCCCATGCCCACCATGCCCACCATGCCCCCCATGCCCCCCATGCCCAAGCCCAAGCCTGAGGTCATGTCTGTGCTCATGTGTATGCTATGCATGGGGGCGTTTGCTAGGGTGTCGTGGGTGCTCTGTGCAAGTGCTTTGATGTATGTGGGTGCGGCATGGCAGGACTCCGAGCGCGGGATAAGAGCCGGGACCTCCATACCATGACTTCCTCTGCTCGCACTGCTCCTCCTCCCCCCCCCCCTGCTGCTGCTGCTGCTGCTGCTGCTGCTGGTGTTGCTGGTGTTGCCGGTGCTTTTCCCAGTGTTACAGTTGGTGTTACTGCCAGCGTCACTGCTGCTGCTGGGTCTGTGGCTGCTGCTGCTGCCACTCCAGCTGCTTCGGCTGGTGATGCTGCTAGGGGTGGTGGTGGTGGAGGAGGAAAAAGAGGAGGGCGAGATGATAGACGCCGTGCTGATGCTGCTGAGGCTGCTGCTCCTGCTGCATCCCTCACTACCTTGCGCACGCAACAACTCACCCTCGCCACAATTCTCCATGCCAGCAGACTTTTGAGTCGACTCAAAAGCACCATCACATCCGCCTCCTCCCTCCCCGCTTCCTCCCTCCCCGCTTCCTCCCTCCCCACTTCCTCCCTCCTCTCCCCCGCGCACACCCTCCCCACCCTCACCCCCATCGCCCCCTTCTGCATCCGCCCCAAAGTCCTTCCCCCTCCCTTCGCCCACCAGCCACAGCACCCCTCTGCTGGACGATCGCCGGTGCCTGCCTCTCGCGGCTGCTGCGTGCGTGAGCGCAGCCGACACCAGTCGCAACGGCGACGCTGCTGCCGCCGCTGCTGTTGCTGCTGTGAATCGGCTCCCACCTCGCCCCCCCCCTTTCCCTCCCCGCTCCTCCTCACAGCTTTGCTCTGCTCTCCCCGTCTCAGCTGCTGCTGCTGATGCTGGTGCGAGATTTTGTTGTGATTCTTGGTAAGGGCTGGAACCAGTCTTCCTCTCTCCCCCTCCTGCTAGCCCTGCTCCCCACTCCCCTCCTCTCTCTCCCTTTCTCTCTCCTCCTCTTCCCCTATCCCCTCCTCCTTCACTCTCTCCCTCTGTCCTGACAGCCTGTTGTCTCTCCCTCCAAGCCTTCCTCCCACTGCCATCCTCTGTTACTTTCACCACAGCCCCGCCCCACCAATTCCTCCCCCTCTGCTGCACCTCACTCGGCCCGTACTTAGCTAAGAACTGAGCGTCGCTTAGGTACGGATCCCCCCGAGCGAGCACTGCTGCTGCCGCCGCTGCTGCCGTCGATGCTGCCGCTGCTGTAGATGCGGTTGATGATGCAGATGACTGGGTTGCGGTGGTGCACGCGGCATCAGGTGTGTTGGAGCGGAAGGGGCAGTCGAGGGACTCGGGAGGGGAAGCCGAAGAGGGCGCAGCGAAGGAGCTCCCGCTGAAAACAGACGCCTCATCATCGTAATCATCGGAGGGGAATGAGGCACCAGAGCCTTTCCTGGTGCTTTTGGTGGTGGTGGTGGTGGTGGTGCTGCTGCTGCTGCTGCTGCTGCTGGTGGTGGTTTTAGTGGTGCTGGTGGTGATGGTGGTGCTGCTGCTTTTGCTTTTGCTGCTGGTGGTGGAGATGATGTGGGCAGCAGCGAGCGGGCCGAGGATGGGGTCCTCCACACCACATATGCGGCAGAGGCCCAGCAGCACGTCGACTAGCGCGGCGTCCACGCTGTCCCGATTGGCGTAGTAGAAGGTCTGTGGGGACGACATGGGGGAAAGTTGGGGGGAAGCGAAAGGGAGAAGTCGGGCTGGGTTGCGTTTTGAGTCGACTAAAAAGTCAGCTTGGACGACAAGGACTGGAGGGAAGGCATAGGGCCCAGCAGCACGTTGACTGGGGCAGCGTCGACTGGCGTAGTAGATGGTCTGTGGGTGGGGACGACATGGGGGGCAAGAACAGTGGTTGGTTGGGCTGGAAGGACGAATGAGGCTGATTCTCTCACGCCAGCGGACGCGATGAGTAATTCTGAGTCCCAAGCAGCTCACCCACCCACCCACCCACCCACCCACCCACCCACCCACCTGCACTTGGAAGACCACTTCATCAACGCCCATGACAGTCCCCGGCGTGTGCAGCGACTGCCAGAAGATGGTGTTGTGCGCCATGGTGGGCAGCAGCAGCAGCCCGCGCTTGAGGTTCGCCTCCACGCGCCCGTCCGGCAGGAAGTTCCCAGGGTCCTGCAGCTGGCACCGCAGCGCGTGCTGGATGCCACGTGGCAGCATGTCGTAGAGCTCGTCCCTGGGGGGTTGTGGGTGGGTGGGGGGGGGATAGAGGGGGAGAGAGCGGGGGGGAGGGGGCAGTGGATGAGAGAGGAGAGAGGCGAAAGTTGACAGCTTGGTGGGGGTTCCCCGGGTCCTGGAGCTGCAAGCGTGGCGTGAGCTGGATGCCACGTGGCAGCATGTGGAGCGCTGGATGCTGCGCTGTGGGTAGCATGGTGTACAGCTCGTCCAACTCACCCACATCCCCCCATCTCCCCCCCATAAGTCAGGCACACAAGCCCACACACACAGAGCAACCACCCAACTCACCTGGTGTTCCCCATGACGGTGTCGGGCTGCTGGATGATCCTCTCCAGCAGGATGTGTTTTGTTTTTGAGAAGTTTAAAAAACAAAGCACCACCACATTCCCATAGTGCAGCGCCAGCATGAGCCTGTCGACCCACACGTCCCGTCCCACCAACCCTCACGCGTACCCCCCCCCCCCCCCCCACCCACCCCAGCTTGTAGGCTTGAATGCCCACGCCACACAACAACACCCTACCTCGTGTTCCCCATGACGGTATCGGGCTGCTGGATGATCCTCTCCAGCAGCACCACCACATTCGCATAGTGCAGCGCCAGCCCCCACGCGCCCAGCGACACCGCGCACAGCGGGGGGGGCGCGGCGGGCGCGGGGCCGAACGCGGCGAGGATCCTGGCGCGCACGAGGCAGAGCGCGGCGACCAGCAGCTGCACCAGGTAGTCGAGGTCCAGCGCCCACAGGCAGTGCGACTGCAGCTTCTCGATGGCCTTGCCTTGTGCTACCATGTCTTGAAGTTTGTTCCACTCGCCGTACGCCTGGATGCTGGGGGAGGGGATGGGGGGAGGGGAGAAAGAGAAGGCGGGGGGGGGAAGAAAAGTAGGGGGGGAGACAGTAGGGGGGTGAAGAGAGGGGGGGGGGGGGGGGGAGAGAGTGAGGGAAGAGGGGAGCATGGCCTTGCCCTGCGCCACCATGTCCTAGAGCTTGTTCTGCTCACCGTACGCCTGGATGCTGGGGGCTGGGAGGGAGGGAGCGGGAGAGTGGGGTTGGATTGGAGGACAGCACGAGGAGCAGGGGGGTTAGTGCTAGTAGCAAGAGCGCGCTGACGAGCAGCGGCACGAGATAGTGGGAGGGGCGGGTCTAGAGTCTGCTGGACGCATGCTGTGCAGATTGCCAGGATACGACATGGTGCGGTGCGGTGAGGTGCGGTGCGGTGCTGTGCGTACCGGCGGTGCAGCTGCTGGATGGACTCCATCTCCGCCTTGAGTCTCTCCGTAGCCTCTGCTTGCTCCCTCAAGAACCTGCCCGCACACGTGGCGGCACGCAAGACGGCACACACGGATGGGCGCGCGCACAGAGTACATAAGCACATACACACACCACATAGCAATGCAGCGCCAGGGCGCATGGCAGACAACACGCCACGCGGTCAAATGCAGCCGTCGGTCAAGCTCACGAGCGACGGGGAGGGATGGCAGCGAGGGGTCGGGGGTGGGGGTGGGAGTGGGGGTGGGGGGGGGAGGGATGTGGGGGGGGAGCCACGACAAGCAAATCAGGGGGAACGACGCATTGGAGACGCGCGCGCCGGCGGCGTGCGCGGGAGGGAAGCCATAGTCGGGAGAGCAGGATAAGGCGCAAGGGTCGTCCGTGAGGGGATGATGCGGAAACGGTGCATCAGCACGTGGGCCTCGCATCAGCGCGCCTCGCTCACCTCATCAGCGCCTCGGCTTCCGAGGTAGACGCCGCGAACTGCGCCAAGTCCACCCCCGCGGGGCCGGCCCCACCCCCGCCCCCGCCCCCTCCCCGCGCGCCCCGCGATCCTGCAGCGCCGCTCCGCGCGCTCGCGAACCCCCCCGCCCAGGCAATCTTCCCCGCCCCACTGTTGCCCGCACCATCCGCGCCTCCCAGCGCACCGGCGACATTGGCAGCAGCAGCAGCACGGCCATCACTCGCAGAACCAGCAGCGGCGGCAGCGGCGGGGGGAGCGGTGAGTCGGTCGAGCGTGTCGCCCAGCGCGCGCAATCCAGGGTGGCGGCACTTGCGCCCGAGCACCGCCACTCTCAGCGCAACGCTCTGCAGCTCCTCCGCCTTTTCCGCGCCCGCCAGGCTCCACAGCAGCTGCAGATCCGCGGAGATTAGGGTTACCACCCCGGGCGCCTGGAGGTTGGCGCGCAGCGCCGCGAGGGACCGCTCGCTCGTCGCGTCGTCGATTTCTAGGAGGCGCCGCATGATGCATCCGATCTCGAACGCGAGCATTTCGGTCTTAACCGTTCCGCCGGCTTGCGCGCCCCCCGCGGCGGGTCCCCCGCTAGCGCCTCCCCCCGCCACGCCTGCTCCGGCAGCGCCAGACGCGCCGCCGGCGGCTCCCCCGCTGGTTCCGCCACCGCCGCGAAGAGCGCGGTAGCCGCCAAGGCTTACTAACGAGAGGGCGGAGCCGCCCTTGCTGCCCGGCCAACCAGAGGTGGCGGCGGTGGATACGGGCGGAAACATGCGCCGCGCCATGCGCTTTAGCGGCCCGTCCCCGCTGCTGCCGCTTAAGGACAGCCCCATAAGACCAGAGGACGACGGGCCGAGGCGCGCGGATGATGACGCGGATCGCGCATCCTGACGCGACGCGAACCCGAACCGCCATTTCCCTTCCCCTGATTTCCCCTTTTCCGCCTTGGGCGTGACCCCGCCTCCCCCCGGGCTTGCGCCGCCTGCCCCCCAACCTGCGCGCCCTCCCTGACCCGGTGCGCCCCCTGCTGCTCCTCCGAATCTCCCCTTTTCCCCCGCGTCCTTTACCGTAGCTGCGCTACCGGGGGAGCGGAGGGCGGAAAGCGCAACTTTCTGCGCAGCCTTCTGCGGGTCCAGCGTCCCCCCTGCGCCCATCCAGGTTCCGCTGCCCGTGCGCTCCAACCCTCCGCCACGGCTTCCGCCCATCCCGCCGCGGGGACCGTCGGGGGCGGGCGGAAGGTAACGCTTTTGCATGGGAAGGGCGGAGCGAGCGGAAAGCGCGGGAGGGTAAGGCGAGAGAGCGAGGCGCGAAAGAAACGCGTAGACACCTAGATGAACCGACTACCCGCAACCTCAACCTCAGAGGCGCGTATAACGGGTATGAGTCATACACATATGAGGCATGAGCAGTACTGTATAGTGACACATATAAGCCGAATTAGTATGCCTGCTCCGACTACCGCCTCAGCTTACAGCCTCGAGTGGGTCGTGCCGTTGCTCTAGGGCTTTAAACCCCCCTTAACTTAACTCCAACTACAGAGAGAGTTTCCCCGTACGCGAGAAGAAGGCTATCTTAATCGAACGAATGAACGGCGACTACGGAGAAACTAGGGTAAACGATTAGGTTTGCGCAACACTTGGGAGTACGCAGAGCGCAGCTAAGGATTTCTTAGTGGTTTCGACGGTAGCATCGCAACGCGACCAGAAACTCTACACGCCTGCGGCGCCGCATTGTTTGGTCAACCCTAACCCTATGACTAACCATCGCCCGCCTGTTCGATCTACGTACGGACAGGCGACTCGCGCTGTTCCTTATGACGAAGGCTCTAATCCGCGTGGCTGGTAAGGATGAGCTGAGGAGCATAGAGCTGGAAACAGTGATGTCATCAGTCATGAGTCATGTAGTCATAACAAATAAACAGACCAGACCAGGGGCAATTTGAAATTGGGAAGGTGGAAGGTACAACAGAGGATGATATGGCTGACAAAGACGAGGCATGGCCAATGCCATGGCTTGCTCCTGACCTGACTCCTGCCCTGAACTGCCGCACCACGCAACGAATCATGTCATGTGTGAAAAAAGGGTTCTATGATCCATCTACCGTGCAATATCACGGTGCCATGCGGTATGAATGGGTGGATGGATGGATGTGCTGGTCTAGTCTGGTTGCTTCGTTCGAGGCGCTGGTGGGGGCCGTGCCTGAGGGAGGGGGGAAACTGCTGACAGAACAGAACAGCAGCAGAGGACAAGCCCCGGCGACCAGCGCACTGTACATCAGGTTAGACCAGCCCTGCGCTCTATGCCGCACTGTACTGTACTGTACTGCGGCTGGGTGGATGCTGCTCGCTGGCATTGGTGGTGGAGGTCCATGCGACGGCAAGAGCGCTGCACTGCGTCGCATAACGTCGCACGACGTCGCCAGGTGAGGCGAGCCGAGTCAACACGGATAGGCTGCCCCAAGGGATGCCTGTCTGGGGTGGACGCTAGAAACTGTAACTGTGCTGTTTCGTTCAGCTGTGTTCTGTTGTGCTGTGTGCTAGGGGAGCTGGAAAAGATTGGCTCGGTTTGTACACCTGTACCCTGATACAGGCTGTCCAATTGTTTCACGCGTCTGAAAACTGTAACCGAGACGTGTGATACATCTATTGAACACTCGTGTGTACTTTTAATAAATTCAAATTCTGAATTCACACCGTTCCAAGCTATTCATTTTGAGTAGTAAGTGGGACTATATGCATGTTAAATGACATTTGTTGTTTTGCATTTTCATACCACGAAACGCTGTCCCGATTATTCACACTAATCAGAAAAAAGTGTACAGACGGGGCATGCTGTTGTAGACACTCTTGATTCGTCGTTTCAACTTTCAAGTGGTGGCTGTCTTCTGTGAACGGTTGTCGGCCAGAGGCAACTGCCATGCGCCCACAAGATTTACAAGTCTGCTCTGCTCCCTGGACTCGGTGGATGACAACAGGGAAGGGCAGCCAGCCTAGCATACAAACTACTTGCAGTAAATTGTTTTCATTCGTGCAGTACACTGATTGCATTCCAAAATAAATCCAAATTGTTTTCCGGTGCAGCTCGATCTGGCATAGTCAATTCGCTTCTATATGTGAAACAGAACGATCCACTGCGAAAACTTAAAAACCGCAACTCGGGACATTCCAGGATAACCTTCATGACGCTTTTGTGCACTTGGGATGTGCCGGGTTTGTGTCCCCACAAGCTCCATAGCACTACAAGACAACAACGGGCAGGCAGTTATGGCGTCGGTTACGGCATCTGTACAGGCTGGAAGCCCACATGGGCCGCGAGGATACAGCTGTCAGTCGCGTGCATCAGAGGGAGATTTTCGTCCTTACCAGCCCACAAGAGGGATCGCTAAAAGGCATTCACTACAAAACGCACTTCAAAACGAACGCCTTATGTATTGTAATATCCATTCATACTACCACAGATTTCTGCAATTTACCACAAGCTCCCCCACTAATACGCCAAAGTTTCATCTTTTCAATAGATTCATTTTATATGCATAATCATGATAATAATGAAACTCATCAAAACAATGCTCGAAATGTTTAGAATTAGAAAAAATTGAGAGAAGTAAATATATTTGGCTGGGATTTTTAATTTTAAAACATCTGAAAGATACAAAATGACAAGCTGGCTGTATTTGTTTGAATACTTAAGCTTAGTGTTGCCCCACGCTATGTACACCAGGTGAGTGGAAAGGAAAATGCGTGGATGTGATTGTAGATAGCATTTGCTGTGGCGAGAAATGCAACCCCTTCCCCTTCTTACCCCTCCCCCGCATTCTCGAGGGAGACAGCTGGGCTGGCGACTGGCGAACTTAAAATGTAACCCTTGGATTTGTTGTGGGCAACCAAAGAGGACTTTCGCCAAAGCCTTCGTAAACTAGTCTTCGTCAAACCATCCTAGTCCCATGCAGTTCAGACACGGCATCACCAAGGGCAGCTCAGTGCGAGAGGTGTTTCGCCAAAGCGTTCGCGAACTACACACAGCTGACTCCATCTCCTCAATTCAGGACTCAACTACATTCAGATCCAGATCTCCAACTGATCCAATGGTAGCCAATGCTCCCTGATCTTCAAAGCTAACGTTCGTTTTGACAAATTACTGGGCGAGCTGTTCCTCGCATATCTCAGGCGTTCATCACAACGTGCTGTAGCGATCCAACGGCCCTAAATCCCTCCGTCCTTCGACTAATATTCAGCATCCTTCCCTGTAGCGGGAAACCGTGATTTTTCACGAAATTTGAGCGGGACTCACGCTAATTGGTGCAAAGACGGCGAACCGGAGCTGTAACCCCGTCCGTTGAATTGCTTTACTTCAATCCAGACCGTATAACGCGATTTGCTTGAAATAGATCCGACGGCCCTAATTCCCTCCCTCCCTCTTCCCAAGTCGAACAGAGTGTTCTCTAGGACGATTTTCGTCCGTGGTAAAGCGAGCCTGATGTTTCCCCACTCCCCACCCCCTTGGCATTGGGGTTTGAATCCCCAAGAGAGGCATTTCGCCTCACTTCGCCTTCATTCCAATTTCTAATTTCCAACATTTCCAGCCGTGGAGTGCCCCTCCCGAGACTAGAATTCCACTCAGCCGAGGCCTTTCGCCTCATTTCTCGTCCGTCGACTCTGTTTGGCCACTGCGTCGCAGTGCGTCGCGTGTCCGCCTCGTCAACGCGGCTTTCTTCTCTTTCAACGGGAAGATATTTGTTGATATTCGTGGACGCTCTGTCATATGGCAAGTTTCAAACGACGGTTTACCGCTCGTGCTATTCTTTGTTGTTATTTCCTTTTCGACCATTCCACTGTGGACTTACAACTCTCTTCGAGATGTTCAGGGTTTTTATTACGCTGACCAAGATCTGAAGCTTAGGCAGCAAGCTTATCACAATCTCGTCTCTGCTGTTCGTCCACGTCAAGCCGCTACTTCGACATGGCGTCATGCTGCGTCGAAGATCCATCAGTGGTAAGCGCATGAGGCGTAAACTGATTCAGAAGGAATTCTTCCATTTCACATCCTCCCCGCGTCACTGCGAATACTCATCCTCCCCCACCCCTCCCCCTCCCATCCCCTCCTCCCCGGAAGCCCTGGCACGCGGCGCTTGCCTGAGTGAGCCTGCTTGCATAGAGCTCAGTCGCTAGTGTCGGGTTAGGCGTTGTTAGTTATTCCGACAGTCGTCGCTGCTCGCACGCGTCCAGTCCCCTCCTCCTCGCTGTCTCCCTCGCTGCCGCTCACTCGTGCATGTGTGCCATGGGCGACCCCTCCCCCAACCCCCTCCCCCCTCCCTCCCCCCCCTCCTCCCCCAGGTGTGGGAGCTGCTTCACGGGATGCACCAGGCGCTGGCGTTGCTCCAAGGCATGCTGCTCGTGCCAGCGCTGCTGCGCGCGCCTCTGCTGCTATCCCCTCGCCTCACTTCGCTCTCCTCCGCTCCCCCCGCCCCCTTTCCCCTTGGCAGGTCACTTGGTCGCTGGTTGCAACGAGCAGTGGGGGGCGGAGGGGGGACAGCAAGCGAGCACGTGACGCTGCTTCGGCTTCCTCGTGCCACCTTAGCTGCCTTCTTCTGCGCGCCTCACGTCATCAGCTAAGTGGTTGCTTCCTCCGCTCACCCACCCTTGCATGCCTTGTCGCTTTTGCCGTCGTTTCGTCTGGTTCTCCCTTAAAATGGTGCCACTGGTGGCTGCACAGTGTACGGCTCACAGACCCCCCTTATTACAGGTAAACACCCCCCTCAGGTTAAGCCTTCAGGTAACCCCCACTGCAGGGTCTGTGGATTGTAGCTGTGCCTCCACCAGTGGCCCCTCCCCTTGCTGTTCCTCCATTTCGCCACGCGTGCATGCATCCCCTCTACCCCCACTGCAGCATGTGATGCCTGCTCACATCATTTCTACTTGCAGCCTCCCCTCCTCCCCTCCTCCTCCCCCCCTCCCTTCCCTGGCAGGATCTCAAGCGCCGGGGCTGCTGGGGTGATGCTCTGGTCGCTGGTCGCGTTCCACGCATGTCTGCTCTTCCAACGCCCTCGCTAGAGCTGCTGCTGCTGCTGCTGCTGCTGCTGCTGTGTGTTCAGCTAAGTAAACCCCCCTCCCTCAACCCAAGGCTTTTGTGTCGCATTCCCTGCTAGTGCTCGTTTCTTTTATTCGTTGCTTCTTCGCCCTTCAAACTACGCAACTGGTTGAGGCCCGCCTCACACGCCACAGACCCCCACCTTTTGTAACCCCCTCAGGTGCAGGTATCCCCTCAGGTGCCCCCTCAGGTTCAGACTCTCCAGGTCCCCTTGGGGGGTCTGTGGCGTGTGGTCGTGTCTCCACCAGTGGGCGCTCCCTTGCAGTGCGTTCCAGCTTCATCTGTTCCTCTCTGGGTGCTACCCACGCCATGCCACTCACTGCTGCTGCTTGTGCGCATTGCAGGTGGAGGGGAGGGGCGTGGGGGTCAACACTGACACTCCCTCACGCACCTCCCCTGTGGCCGTGCAGGGACGCACACGGGGGGTCTGGGAGGAGCGCTGCCTTGTGCGGCAAGGGAGAGTATCTGGGGTGGGCTCGGCTGCTCAAGGTAAGCCCTTTCTTCCTGCTGCAATGCCTGCTCGCTCACTTCTGGCTCTGTTTTAGTGGGCTCTCCCTTCCCTGCACTCACTTCTCTCTTCTCCCGTCCTCCTCACCACCCCCCTACATCCCCTCCCCTCCCTCCTGGCAGGCCACCGTTTCATGGAGGCGGGACAGCAAGCGAGCACCTGGGGGTGTGCGTCAGCCACCTGGCGGCAGCTCAAGGCACCTCGTGCTGCGTCGCCTGCCTTGTGCGCGGCTCACAGCATCAGCTAAGTGCGCGCTCCTCCCCTCGCCCACCCTTGCACGCCCCTCTTCTCGCCTTGGATTCTCGCCTTCGTTTGCTTTTCCTCACAAAACGGTGCCGCTGGTGGAAGCGCAGTGTGCAACCCACAGACCCCCCTTACTGCCAGTAAAGCCCCCTTGCACCCTCCCCTCCCCCCCCCCCCTTTTCTCCACCTACCCCCCTCCCCCCTTTGCAGGAGCTCACGTGCGTGCCTCTATCTGCCCCCCCTGCTGTGGCATCCGCCTGCCGCCTGCTGGCTGGGACGCCTGCTGCCTCCATCTGCTCCGTATCTGCCTGCCCCTGCCTGCACTCACCTGCAGCAAAGCAGACGCAGTAAGTGTTTTCACGCTCCCTGGATCCAGCCTTGCAGTTTCGCTGCTGCTAGTTTCAGTTCTCCCTCTCTCTTTGCACGTGCTTTCACTCCCCTCCCCTTAAAATCAATGCCATTGTTTGGGCCCGACTCACACCCCACAGACCCCCCCCACTTCAGGTGCAGGTAACCCTCTCAGGTGTAGGTACTCTCCCCCCCCCCCCCCCCCCCAGGTGCAGGTACACACCAGTGGCCCCTCCCTTGTTCTTCCAGCCTTGGCAGTTTCCAGGCCGTGGCTTGTGCTTGCTGCCATGCCATGCACACTGACCACTGCCGTGTGTGTGCATTGCAGGTGCTGGGGAGGGGCGTGGGGTCAACACCGACACTCCCTCACACCCCTCCCCTGTGGCCGTGCAGGGACGCACACGGGAGGTCTGGGAGGAGTACTGCCTTCTGCAGCACGGGAGAGTATATGGGGTGGGCTCGGCTGTTCAAGGTAAGCCCCTTTCCTTCTGCTGTAATGACTGCTCGCTCACTTTCTGGTTGAATTTCGTGATTGGCTCTTCCTTCCCTGCACTCAATTTTCACTTCTCCCTTCCTCCTCACCAACCCCTCCCCCTCCCTCCTGGCAGGTCACCTGGCAGCAAGTGAGAGCGGTGCAGCAGAGCCTGTAGCTGAGCGCGGTGCAGCAGCAGCAGCAACTGCGGCAGCAGCACTAGTGGATCCTGATGCAAGGGAGAGTATCTGGAGTGGGCTCGGCTGTTCAAGGTAAGCCCCTGTCCTCCCTGCTGCAGCACCTGTTCATTCACTCGCTGCTTCTGTTTCACTTGGCTCCGCTGCCTCTCCCTTCGCTGCACTCACTGCTCCCTTCTCCCTTCTTCCTCATCACCCCCCCTCACCCCCTCCCCTCCCTCCAGGCAGGTAACTTGGCAGCAGCAAGCCAAGTCTGCAGCAGAACCTGTAGCTGAGGTCGGCGCAGCAGCAGCAGCAGCACTGCATTCGGCAATGAGGGAGAGTATCTGGGCTCGGTTCGGCTCCTAAAGGTAAGCTCTTTTCCTTGTGCTGCAATTCTTGTATTTTGTCTGTCTGCAAATCTGTCTCTCCTCTCTGGTTCTGTCTTCCATTCCCTTCTCCTTCCCCCTCTCCTCCCCCTCTTCCCTCTCCCTCCTAGCAGGTCACTTGGCAGCAGCAAGCAAGACTGCCGTTGAGCCTGTAGCTGAGCAGCGGTGCAGCAGCAGCGGTGCAGCAGCAGCAGCAGCGGATACGGGGCAGCAGAGCAGCAGATTAGCCGAGGGCAGTTAGAGGGCGGGGTATGGTACAGGTTTGGTATGGTATAGGTACAGGTATGGTACAGGTTTGGTATGGTATCGGTACAGGTATGGTATAGGTGCAGGTATGGCGACATTCCCCTCATTCCCCTCCTCTTTCTCCTCCCTGCCTCCTTCAGCAGCTGCCCACCCCTTGGTGCCCTGGACTGGAGCAAGTTGAGGAGCAGAGGAGAGTTTCTCACACCCCCCTCCTCTTTCTCCCCAGCAGCTGCGCACCCCTTGGTGCCCTGGAGCAAGAAGGGGAGCAGAGGGGAGTCGCTCACACCCCCCACCCCCCTCCATTCCCCCAGCAGCTTCGCATCTCTTGGCTGTGCATGGTGGTGGTAAGTGAGGTAAGCTGAAGGCGTGGGGGAGGGGATGTAGTGGGTAGATGGGGCAGGGTGGGCAGGGTGGGGGGGGGGCATGCGGTGCAGGCTTCTGGGGGCAGCATCCTCAGTACTATACGCAATGGGGGCTGGGTGAGGCAGTGCAGGTACACGTGTCAAGCACTCTGTGTCCAATCGCAATACCCGCGCGTTAATGCATAATGGGCCCATGGCAGACCATTGCGGCCGAATGGTTCTGTCTCGTGCCAGCTCTTGCCACGCCGGTGAGGGGTAATTGGATCTTGGGCTTACCGTGTGCTTGCCTCCTGCCTCGCTTGGCGCCTCAACGCAATGGGTACTGCTGGTGCTGCTTCTAGGGGTCTGTGCTGCATGCTGAAGGGGGATGGTGGGTGGGGCGAAGTGGGTGTGTGACCATGCTGGTGCTACTGGTGGCGTGGAGGGGTGCTGGTGAGAAGGGGTGGTGGTGGTGGTGGCGTGGAGGGGTGGTGGTGAAAAGAGGTGGTGGTGGTGGCGTGGAGGGGTGGTGTTGGTGCTGGTGAGAAGGGGTGTGGTGGTTGTGGCGTGGCAGAGTGGTGCTGGTGGTGAGGAGTGGTGATGGTGAGATAGGGTGGTGGTGGTGCTCTTGGTGGTGCGGAGCTTTGGTGTTGGTGCTGGTGAGAAGGGGTGATGGTGAGATAGGGTGGTGGTGGTGTGTTGGTGCTGGTGGTGGTGTTGGAGGGAAGAGGTGATGGGCAGTGAAGGTGGTGGTGGGATGTGGCAGAGGGGTGGTGAGAACCCCCTGAGTATGTTGAGACCGATGAAGGGGAAGGGGGTTGGAGTACCCTGGGTAAGGCAAGTGAGGGGCAGGGGGGGGAGGGGGGTTGGAAGCCGTTAATGCGAGCACGGGGCAGGGGAATCCCCCTCCTCTGCCTTAGTCTCGCCTTAACCCGTGGTTTTCAACCCCCCTCTCTTGCCTCTCAATTGCCTTGCTCTGGTACTCTGAGCCTCCTTCCCCTACCTGGGTCTCAGCTTACCCAGGGGGTTCTCACCCTCCCTCTGCCAGACCACACTACCACCTCAACTTTTCATCCTGACCGCCCATCACCACTCCCCACCAGCACCACCACCATCACCACTCCTCACCTGGTGCCACAGCCCCTGCTGCTCTGCCAGTGTTGTTGTGTAGTGGTGGTGGTGGTGAGGGAAGGTGGTGAGAGATGGTGGTGGTGGGAAGTTGTTGTGGTGATGGTGATGTTGTGGAGGGTGGGGAGTGGTGAACGATGGTGGTGGTGGTGGGGAGTTGTGGTGGACGGTGGTGGTGGTGGGGAGTTGTGGTGGACGGTGGTGGTGGTGGGGAGTTGTGGTGGACGGTGGTGGTGGTGGGGAGTTGTGTTGGTGGTGCTGCCATGTGGCAGGGGGGTGGTGAACCCCCCATTAGGTAAGCTGACACCTAGGCAGGGGGTTCCGCCCTCCCTCTGCCACACCACCACCACCGCCACTACTTTCCACCTTCACTGGTGCTGGTGCTGGTAGTGGCGGTGATGCTGCTGGTGCTGTATGGTGTGTCGTCCCATGGTGAGCCATTTGTCCCATGGTGGATCATCCCATGGTGGATCATCCCATGGTGGATCATCCCATGGTGGATCATCCCATGGTGGATCATCCCATGGTGGATCATCCCATGGTGCATCATCCCATGGGGCATCATCCCATGGAGCATCATCCCATGGTGCATCATCCCATGGTGCATCATCCCATGGTGCATCATCCCATGGTGCATCATCCCATGGTGCATCATCCCATGGTGCATCATCCCATGGTGCATCATCCCATGGTGCATCATCCCAAGGTGTATCATCCCATGGTATGCCATGTGAGGGGGTGCTTGAGCCTGCAGCCCAGCGAAGAGGGTGGTGGGTGTGGAGTCTGATGGTGATGGTGATCATGGGATGTGGGCTGTTGAAAGTACATCAAAAGACTTAAGCGTTTCTGAAGTGTAACACTACACTCGAGGAAGATTGCAAGGGGTACGCGAGTCAACGGAGGTTACACAAGGGGGCGGACAAAGAACACGAAGGGTCTGGGACTCAAAGGGTCGCAACTGGAGGTTGCGACTGACCGTTACAGCATCACGGATGGTAACCGAAGCGGCAATCGAGTCGCTATGCGACTCGATAAACCGTTCCTGTAACTGTACTCTGCAACTGCTTTCTTATCTTCTATATATTGCTGTATCCTTGTTTCTTTAATCAATCACTTGTTCTCACATACTAGTACAAGGGTTCAACTGCCTCAACTTCCGCTGCACTACTCCAAGTCTCAAGTCTCTACAGCTGGGACTTAGTCTCTGCAAAAGATCCTAAGGGCTTTTCTCAGCCCAACATGGTATGAGAGCTGGTCAGAGACCAAACTCCCAGCAACTACGCTCCATCAACGACCTGCAACTCAACTTGATTCAACAACTCCATTGATTACAAGACATGGACAACAAGGGCAAGAAAGTCTCTACGGGCTCACCCAGCGCCCAAGAAACTCAACACGGCAACTCTGGTCTGCACACCTCAGGAGTGCAGACAGAGACCGGGACTACTCAAGAAACAACGGGAAGAGTACCAGAGATGGTGACTCCGTCTCCCTCTTCAAGTGTGGACCCGAATCTCATGGAGAGATTCTTCAGCTTCATGTCACACTTCGACCAGCAGCAGCAGACAAGGACACCTGCGCACTCAACCTCGAGCAATGGAGGGAATATGGGATTAGCGCCGATGAGCCTCGACAACTCATCCTTCGGGCGACACAACCAAGCGCCTACCTTTGCGCCTTATCATTCTTCGCCGGGGACGTTCGAATTCATGCCGCCCCGTGCCCAGCCAACAGCAGCTGCATCACAACAAACACCGAATGAAATCTTAAGTTTACAGGCGCAGTTCTCACACGTGATCAAACTTCAGACATCCTCACCGTTCAACGGACACGACTTCTTTACCTGGAGCTTCGAGTTCGAGCTGCTGATGGAGGCCGCGCATCTTCTGGGATACTTCAACGGGTCCCTGCCATTCCCAAGCAACGGCACTGGGAAGGAACAAGAAATCTTCACGTATCAGTCGCTGCTGGCGTATACGGTACTCCTGAGAAACCTGTCACCACAAGAGCAGCAGAGCATCAGAACGTATCGAAGTTATGGAAACTCCGCGGAACTCGCATGGCATCATCTCAAGTGCCTCTATCAAGCAAACGACAGCGTGACTCAAAGCAGACTCATGCAACAACTGACAACAATACAGATGAAGACCGGGGAAAAGGCGATGCAGTATATGAGTCGCTGCCAGACCCTCCGCGACCGCCTGCTTCGGTGCGGAGGAACGATCACTGAAGAAAGCTTCGTGACACTTGTCCTCGCCGGGCTCGGGCCAGAATGGAGAACCACACGATCACTTCTTCGAGCCCACGGAAGAATTTCGGAGATGCACCTCTGCGCCGAGCTTCACGCTGAACAACAGGAGATGGATCTGTTCGAAGAAAGACAACCAAGGAAGCAACAGCAGTTAGTCTTCTACACTCAAAGAAGAAATGACAACAACTACAACCGACGCAGCAAGCAAGATCAACGCGACAACCGAGGACTCACCATCGTACCGCCGTTCTGCCACAACTGCCAGACTTCCGGGCACTCCAAAGTCAACTGCAACCGCCCTCGCGTTTACCGTGCAGCAGACCCACAAGTCACTTCCACTCAAGCAAGTCCTCCAAGGCGCTCTTCAACATCTGCACAACAAACACCCAACATCATCAACTGCATGGTACACATCGACAACTGCGCACCCGGTTCACCACCCACTTACGCACCAGACGAAGAAGAATTCTCGCCGCCGCGCTCGCAAGGACTTCAGGTCAACCCGACATACGCTGCAGTCGCCAACGCCGAACCCACCGGGCGAAACACCTGGTTCTTGGACAGTTGCTGCGGTCAGCACATGTGCTCCTCCGGACGCTTCGTACAACACGAGCGACGCCTCAACCGTGACGTCGTCATCACCGTCGCCAACAACGAAAACCTGAAAACAAATAGACAAGGCGTGGTTCAGTTACAATCAATGGAGACAAACGTTATTCTTCAGCTCAACAAGGTCCTCATCGTCGACAATCTGGGATACAACCTATTAAGCGTAAGCCAACTAATGGCTAAGGGGATTCACCTGGAGTGCGACTCCTTCTCCAACGAGTTCCGACTTTACCATGGGAAGGGCGGTCTCTTCATCGGTCGTGCCCTCCTGAAGTCCGGTGTCTTCGTGTTGGACTTCGTCCCCGACCGCGGAACTGCCGACAGCGATGGCATCGTATCGTTCGCCGCCTGGACTCACCCGCCGGATCTTGATCCCGACTTCGACAGTGACGGCTTCTGGCACTCCAACACCATACCTGCAGCAGAGAGAACACGAGCATTAGCAGTTATCAGACAAGAAAGACAAGTACCCGCAAGTGTCCCAACAAAACCATCACCTGCAGTATCGGCAGCAGGACCCAGCCGAGTACCACCACCATCAACACGAGGATCGCCAACGGAAGCAGACCAACTTATGCCCGCCACACGAGAAGCTTGTCGAAGTCCCGCCTCAGTCGTCGCGTTCTTATCCAACGCCGACATCTACCACCGCTCGCCCGGTCACCGTGCTCCCGACGACATCTGGCACCAACGTCTCGGACACCCTGCAAACAGCACAATACTTCAAACAATCCAAGCAGAGGTGTTAGAACGCAACGCCCTTCTGACGACGAGCGGTCAAGAACTTCGACGACCACGAGCACGGTGCTTCACATGCCCCGAAGCAGATCTTCCTCATCAACCTTTCCCAGCCCATCACAATCCAAGCGCACCCACTTACGCTCCGATGGAAAAGGTCTACAGCGATATTCTAAACATGCCTCGAGACGACACCGAAGCCGACTTCAACTACGTCATCACGTTCATCGACGCCGCAACCAGATACGTCTGGCACTTCAATCTCAAAACGCGCGATCAAGCCTTCGAGGCCTTCACCACATGGCTTCCAATCGCCGAACGAGAGTCAGGAACCAAACTCAAGAGTTTCCAGTCAGACGGTGCACTGGAATACCAGTCACAACGATTCAGGACCTATCTCGCGGAAAGGGGAATCCGACGCCTGGTGTCTCTGCCCTATGCTCACCAGCAGCAGGGGGTAGCAGAACGCATGAACCGGACCTTGCAGACGACGATGCGAAAACTGCTTCTGGGGATGAGGCTGCCCAACGCACTGTGGCCAGACGCGATGACACATGCTGTTCACCTGCACAACCTGCTGTCCTCGTCATCACTTCCCAACAACGCATCGCCGCA